TCCAGTAACTAAAGTATAACGCAAACCACTACTGCTACCACCAGTAACAATGATAAGGGAAATAGCAAGGGAAGAGAATACGATACCACCCCCTGAAATGAGTCCGACCCAGAAGACCCTGTGTCCTTCTGGGTAACTCCCAGTTACCTCCCAGGGCATGACATGCTGTGGTATGGAATACCTCTTCGGCTAGCTTGGGTCAGGTGTCCTGTCTCTGCTTCCTCCTGGCCTCCCCTCCTCCCTGGCAGAGCATGAGACTCACAAAGGCCTTGGTTAGGGTAAACATTACTTAGCAACAGCTAAAAACATCGGTGTTATCAGCAGTGTTCCCGGGCTGAAAGTCAAAACACAATGCTGCACCAGCTACCAAGGAGAAAAACTGACTGCTACTGCTGCACCCAGGACAGAGTGAAATAGCAGGACTGTACTTTCTGTATTTACCCAGTTGCTGGTTTACATTAATGAATGCTCTCTAGGAGGAAATTAAAACCTTTCTAATGGATTTAAATGACATGTGTGGAGCAGCAGAAGGCAGTTTTCTGCAAGGGAATTTGATCCAACTGTTGGGATTTAACACACTCTGTTTTGCCAGAAGTGCTGTAATATTATTAAGTCATCACAACCTCATTTAGTTGCTTTGTAATCTGCTCTTAACCTTCATGCTGATGAGGCTGCTGTGTAACAGGCACTGAAGGCCAGAATTTGTATGGCTTCAGTGCATGGAAGCCCATGCCAGAGATCCCAGTGAGGCCAGGTGGGAATGCAGCTGTGTTTTCACTCTTGAGATTAGGTGGAATGCTTGCCTTTTGGATGCAGACATGAGTGCACAGAGATGTTCCCTAAAGGTTTCTGCATGCTGCTGGGTCTTGTCACTGAAATGCTCCTGCTTTCAGGGAGCCCCATGGAAATTCCTTGACAGGGGTACTGGTCAACTCCCTCTCCTGTACCTAAACTTTGGTTGCATGTGGAAGTCTGTGGCTGTGAAGGTGTTTACTGCTTTCATTAAATATTTCCATTACATATTTTCCTCTAGCAGGAGTGATCGCTGATCCAACTTTTAATCAAGAGAATGATTTTGGTGATAAGGGAGAACCCTTGTTGAGATTTTTAGAGGGATGAAACATGCTGCTTGCATGCACCTGTAAGCTGGGAGCACTTCTTCAGTGCTAGCTAAACCGAGTGTGGTGGGGGAATGCCTAGCTTAAAAACTCTACAGAACTTTGGCAGTGAACTAGTGCTCAGAGGAGCCTTGTCCTGTGATGGCTGCTTGGCTCTTTGTTCCTGGATTTCATGCTGGGGATGGGGTGGTGGTGGGACAGGCACTGCCTGGATTTCGGTGGCAGTAAAGTGGTTACTTTGGTGTGTGATGGAATTTGTAGAGCTCAGTCTCTAAGGTTACCTTTTAGGACGGTTTCCAAAGTTATCTATGTGATTGAAAGTAGATGTCTTTTCTGCCATATTTGTGTGTTTGGTTTTGTTTGCTTGGTTTTTTTTTTACTGCATCCCTAATAAAGCGAAAAGTATTTTCCTCATTTTAATGGAGGGAGAAATGTTTCATCTTTTCAGATGTTTCAAAGTTCTGCAGAGTGTCTACTTGCACCTTCAGCTGTCTTATTACCTTCATCCCTCTCTGCCCCTGCAAGCCCAAACTTTGGCTAGGAGTGGCATACGGCTCATTTATTTTAAAGTGCTAAATTCCCCAGGTTGCCTGTGAAAACTGCAGTCCCTACTGGTACATACCAAGTATTTTGTGCTCTTTCTTAGTTCTGCTCCTTTGCTTCATCAGTAACTGTAAAAATAACTTTCTTTAGACAAAACCAAAGCATATTTTATTTTGCATTTGCCTCTTTATTCTACAACACAAGCAACGTAAATAGTTCTTTTTTTTTTTTGTTTGTTTTAAAATATTTCCATTTCAGAGTTCAGTCAGAATAAAATATACACAAAATACAATTTGCAAGCCAGCTGACAGTGACTGCCTGACCACTGGACATCCAAGGACTAAACAAAGCTAGCAGCACAACAGAACGCGGTGGACACAGGATGTGGTTCCCTAAAGAAGAGCAGATGGGTAGAGGGAGGAAACATGGGTGAGACTGGGGAATTGCAGCTAGGTGTGAACTCAGTAGAAGGTAAAACCAATGTAAGCACTTGCTTGACAAAGGCATTTACAGTCTCTCTTAAAAAGGATTACTAGCTCCTCCTGAATATACAGCTAGGTAGGGATGGAGTCCTGGGAATCATGTCCTGTGGTAAAATGCTTCCTATGGCAGCCATCATCATGGAAATAAACTCTAAATTTTTAAATTTTCAAACAGGAAAGGCTTAGATCTTTGGCAGAATGGAGTGTTCACTCCCTTTGGCTTGCTTTCAGCTCTGGTTGAAGGGGCCCTGGACATGTTTGCAGTCTCAAATGATACCAAAAAGAAGGGGTAGGGAGAGAAAATGGGTGGGGAGGGGAACTGAAAGAAGATGCTCGCTGCTGTTACTGCACTTTTCAATCTCTTGCTCCCATCTCCTCCAGCAAGCAGCATGCAGTGTAGGGCTGTGTCACCACCGTGCTCTGCGCTTCCTGATTGTTCTCCCTTTGGAAGAATTGATTCTGATTTCCTCTGTAGAGCAGGGGATCAGGAGCCATAGCCTGCTTGTGGAGGTGATATTTGTCCCTTGCTTGAAGCTGTGTACCTGTGCCTCTCTGCTAGCTCAGCTCTCTTGTTTCATCTTGCTTTTTGTGGAAGCATGGCATTCCACTGCAGCCCAGGTGAACCAGATGCAAGGACAGGAACTAGGGCTCTGGTGCTCCATGTTATGTAGATGAAATTTACCGAAACACGTACTACTTTTCAAAAGTGGGATGTTGGGGTAAAAGGGTTAAAATAGATCCTGTTGCCATGTTTCTTACAAAAAAATGACTTCCATGAACACAGTTCCCTAATTCAGTGAGGCAGTGGAGACTATCTGAGCCTCAACTTGTGAACTTGCCAAAAATAAAGAGAATTTGAGGGATATGGTCCCACAGGCAAGCTCATTATTGCATTAATCCAGGATCATACAGTGTAGCTCCACAGAGACAGCCACAGAATTAGGGCATTTCTTCTTCCCTCGGCTTTTAATTTTTAGCTTGGAGACCTCTGAGCACTCAGTGAAAAGGTTGATGCATACTTACACCATGTGTTATTTTTCCTTTTTAATTAGCCAGCACCCCATGTTTGGCCAAAGCTGTTTCTTTTAATATGATACCATACAGTTAGTGCCATGTATAAAGTGTATGTTCTGTGGGGGATCAGTGGGAATGATGGAAAGAGGTGCTACAACTTCTTCCTTGCAGCTGTACAACTTCCTGAAGTCACAGGCATGTTGCTGGTGAGGGCTGCCAAGAGACCCTTAGGTTGTATCCCTATAGAAGCCCTACTGAAAATAGGGAGGTTCAGTGAAGAGGGCTCTTTAGCTGCCGGAGGCTGTTACCTACATTGCATAAAATCCAACGTTTGTGCTTATGTGCTATGGTAACTTGGTCCTTCTGTGCTAAAAAAGAAACTTTATTTTTTAATTGACAGTATATCATTATTTCTTCAAACAATTGTGGAATGACCAGAAATTGGAAAAAACTAACTGTATTCTGTGTCATGTGCCATGATTAGCACTGTACATAGATCTTCTCAGAAGTTACTTTAACTACAGTAACAGGTAAATAGCTTGCTTATGCATAATTGTAGCACAACCCCACAAAAGGACAAGGAAAGAAAGCACTTCATTCATCACTGCGTAATGGCATTTCTAGAGTGGATTGCTGAAGGTGAAATTAGCTAAAGCACGTGCTCAATTTCTGAATAAGCTTTTATGCAGATGAACTAGGGATAAATAAATTGCTTTGGCTTGCTATGGTCAGCTTCCTACATGTTGAAACTGTATCTGTGCAAAAATGAAGGTTCTCGTTTTGGGGTGCTGGGATGCATGGGAGTATGTGCCAGTTCTTGTGGCTTTTTCAAGCAAGAGGGTTATAGAGGACAGCAGCAGAGCTGATGACATCAGGAGCTGTACAGGACTTCCCCTTTCCTGAGAACCTGTGAACCTGTGTGTAGGGGAATTCAAGGACTGGGTCTGGCGTATTGACCAGGTATGTAACTCACACTGATTCCGACAGCTTAGGCACTCTGAGTGAGGGCCTCAGCTGTCAAGAGAGGTACAAAATGCAGGCAGCACACAGACCTGGACCTCTCTACTTGCTAACTTGCTTGCCACTTGGTGTCATAGTAGTGCTGCACTGTGCTCTGCAGATGCTGAGATGCTACTATATCAAGTGTAGATGGACATTATGTGTGGTAACACAACGTATTGAGAGGTGGGGTTAGATCTTTGGCAGCTGAGGATTTGTCAGTGAATTTTACAGTAAGATTTAGGTTTTAAACAAAACTTGAAGCTCATATTGAAAGGCAGAGTACCTTACATGTCACAGCTGTAAACTTGGCTTGGCATTGCCATGACCCAACTGCAGTCCAGAGGACATGATTTTTTTATCTCTCATGAGGCAAAAGCTGGTGCTTGGAGCTTTACAAGGAAAGTTTTGCCCAGGTCTATCTTTCCCTAATAATTCTTTCTAGATGCTAAAATAAGTCATCTATTCTCACATGAGTGTTTATCCCTAGGAGAGTATTAAATCTGTATCTTCATGTCTTAAAGACATGCAAGTGTGTTAACCAAGAGATAGCGGTCATAATTCTATGGCAGCTGAACATTTAGAAAAGACTGCTGTGGGAAGTTACCAGAACAACCATTATGCATTGCCAATGTGACACAAACATGCAGGGAGCACGATAAACGTATTACAAACGTGGGTATTGCTCTGTAAATATGCAGAATGCTCAGAGCGTGAAAGTGTCTGGAGCTCCACGAATCTATACATAGACACACCAGTCATCTCATATGTGTACATAGTCACACTGCAGAATGAAGTGCAAACATACCCTGATCAAACCTTGCTCCTGTTATACTGTAGCATAGTACAGCTGGACATGATTGGGGTGGTACTGTCATTCCTGGAGTTCTTCCTTCTGTTGTACAGAAGGACTTTGTATTGCAACTGTGACACAAAACCACAGTGTTTCCTGGATGTTAGGCCCTCTGCTGGAGTCTGGAGTGATTCCACTGGTACTGCTATCAGTCTTACTTCTCCAACATGTTTTAGAGATTTACTTTAGTACAGCAAGGATCTGCATCCATTCCATGCACGTATAATGAAAAACAGAATTGGATGTTTTGCATAGTTTATTATTCTGATTTCTGTTGTTGCCTAATTAATGTACTGCTTTAAAAGCAGCTCTGTATAGATGGCCAATAAGACCTTTAACAAAATTGTAACAAACTTCTTCGTCTACCTACCAGAAGATGTGTAAGAAAGACATGGCAACAGAAATCTAACCATGCAAAAACCCTCCCAGGTAACAAGGTCTAATTGTACCTTTCCCCAAGGAAATATTAAAATTGTTTGGGGAAAATTGACAATTGCTAAAATCGCTAAATTAATTACTTATTTGTGAAGTCAGTGTTGGTGGTAAGAAAGAGTTGGTTTTACAGAATTTTTATGTCCTTGAAAGAATTTAGCAAAGGAAAGTTTTGAAAGAAAAAATGGTGTGACTGACACTACAGAAAGTTAAGGGACAAATATTCCCTGCACAAGTCTAGCAAGTGATAAATGGGAATTGGGAGGAAAAGGCAGGAGGATAGTGTCAGACCCTTTGTAAACACATCAGCTTGGGTGACGGCTGTTCAGTGGAGCCTTTTGGCTCCCTCTGTTTCTCTATGTTTAAGATGCTAGAAGGGGTTAGCTGTGCAAAATCAAGGGCTGATACAAAGAGATGCCATTTTGAAGATGGAGGGAGCAGGGACTGAAGCTGTATATTTAGTTGGTATGCACATTTTAAAAGCCTTGGGAGAATATCATTAAGTGGTCACCTAAGATTAAAATCAACTTATTTTCAACAAATTATTTCAACTTCTAATCAGTAAGTTATGTGGTATGGGAGTATGAGATGGAGTGTCTCAGAGGCTGTAACGTAACTTGTGCAGCAGGTAACCCTTTGCTGTTTCTAGTGTGAACAGCATCACATGTGTATTTGATAACACGGTAGTAAAGCCTTCCCCTTAATAATATCAGCAAATGGTAGTAGTCCCTATAGGAGTGCTGCACAGAGGGGGATGTACCTCCAAGACTCTCTCCCTTTCAATTTACAGCAGCAGACAAGAAATGGGAGAGAAACAAGAAAAATACCTTCCTTTCAGTCTATTTTTTATCTCAGTTCAGCCCAATGTGGAGTGATAAGCTAAGTTTAACAAAGGTGATAATGGTCTTCCTGGCTACAGCCGCCTATGTAAACAAACATTTCCAGATAGAAGCATACACTAACTTAGCTTCAGTGTTGCTTAAACCAGACCACTTTACTCTGTTAAGCTGAATGTTGAATATTGGCACATGCTGCTATTTGCTCTGTGGTGTGTCTTCTCCCCCAGGTTCATAGGACACAGCAAAACAAATTTCCTTGTTGCCCTTAGCGGGAACTAAAACCATGGAAAAATGATCAGCTGTAGGTGTAGCTGAATAGGCAGACTGAGTAGTGGTGTAGAGAGAGCAGCTTTGACAGTGCTATTTGTCTTAAAGCAATACTCCGCAAAAGCAATGAAAGGATGAATAGTCTATGCTTTGTTCACCAGTTTTAGGCTTGGGATACTTTAATAGTCACTCATTAGCTACCCCAAATGTGACCAGATTTCAAAGGCTCCTCTCAGAGACAAATAAATCTCCACTTACTTTCTCGAGTGAGGAATATTAGTAATTACAATTACGAGAGTAATCTTTATTTGGCTTTCTTCTCTCATGCTTATTTCAGAAGGGAAAAAGGTTACCCTAAACAACTGTCAGTTTTTCACTTGTCCCACAGCCCCACCTTTTCCCTGCCTTCTATTTATTTCTTTTTTTAAAGTTACATAGGCTTATTGGCCTGGTTTGACATCCAGATGACAGTTGTGTTCACAGCTATTTGTAAGTGTGGAAGTTCTGCTGCAGTTTATTGTGGCTCCCACTGTTGCAAATTTGAATTAAATGAAGGCTACTGAAATGTATCACCCCTTTAGGTACCAGCCTGATTTACTGGTAGTTTCTGTGTTCTGGGGCCATTCCAGACCATGCTGGACATACTCATGCTATGCCATCTTTGCTAGTGCGAGTGGGGGGGACACAGTCTCAAGCAGACATAAGATATACATTGACAAGTTCATTGTTTCTTAATGTGCCACCAACAAACAGGCAATTAATAAACCCCAAGTACTTCTTTGCTGTATACCTTTGATGTATCTCCCCTTTGCAACAGAGCACAGCTAGGTTTAAATGATGATATCATACACTCGTCCCACTCTTCCCAGCCATTCCCGTACTGCTTGGCGAACACGGATATCTGTCACATGGCAGGTCAGCTGGCTGATACAGGGAAACACCGCTGGCTGCAGGGCTGTGAAAGTTTGGTCTGGCAGGGCCTGAATCTGGTTGAGAACTGTCAGCACCATGTTGGTCCATGCCTACAAACAAACAAATTCAATACAAAAAATGACTGTTTAGAAGACCTGTAAGTCATTATTTGGTTTTGTATTGCAGATATCATGCTCATCTTTCATCACCTTTAATTTCACCCCATAGTGAACAAAGTTTGATGCTTTCACGAATTTGCTGACATCAACAGGCAGGCAGTGAGTTTCTGTTTAGCAAGGAGCCTGCTATTTCTGCTGTGGAATTAGCAAAACCCCTTCTTAAGTGCAAAAGCATTGTGACAAGCTGCATGCCATTTTCAAAAGCCTTAAGTGGGCTAGAGCCCTTAGCAGTAAGCAATGGGTTCACTGTAGGCTGCTAGTTCTTAAGACTAAGAAGTGCAACTTTGGCCCCAGGCACAGAAGCACCCTTGAAAGCTGTACTAGTGTATGCATGATAGCACTTCCCTGAAAACTGTTTTCTTTTGGATAAAGCAGAATTAGGTTTTTTATCAGTGCCAGCTTCTGAACATTCAATCCTCATCATGATGCATTCTTTAAGTAATGAAGACATTATAATAATCAAAATATATAAAAAATAGGTATCTTTTTAATTATTGCTATTACTGTTGGCATTCTACAGGCATATCCTACCTGTATCTGGGCCTCAGCATCCCTAACAGATATATTCAGGGAGCTGACTGTGGATCCTGAGCGTGGTCTCTTCTCTTGTCTCAGGATCTCCGGACCAGCACTGAATGAATGCCTCATTTGACCTTGATCTATAAGATGTTGTGGACGCTGGAGTATGGGTGAGTCTGGCCCTCTTGAACCAAGAAGTTCTCCTTTCTTTTCCACTTTGACCTCTTTGGTGAAGGATGTCATGGCCTGTTGCTGCTTTCTTTTCTTGTATTCTGTCATGAGCTTGGAGATAGTTTTGTCAGTGGCTATGGTGTAGATCTTGTTGCCAGCACTCTCCCACCATTCTTTTTTCCTGGTTTGCTCTTTCTTCTCTGGTTTAGGACTTAGGGGTGGGGGTAGCAGCAATATTTCTCCAGTCCCTCCTCGGGGTGTCAGGCTGTCTCCCAGCTGATCCCTGATTTGACTCCGATCATCTTCTGATGGTGTGTCCTTCCCAGATTGCCCTCCAGTCGATGGGGTGGAGGTTTCTGAGTGAAAGGATGGTAAAATGAAGAAAGGGTCACCTTTGAATGCTGGAGGCTCCTCTACATTATTCTCCAGGTCCAAATGCATCTGGATATAGTTGTTGCACAGTTCCATGCAGAGCTTATGAAGCCTTTTGATAAGCCACCCCCAGTCTGCATTGCTGACAGGCTGTACACTCAGGGATGGTATTCGAGCCCTCCACTGTCTCTTCTCCTTCCCTCGTGGAGGACTGACCTGGGCAGTTTCTTCAAAAATGTCTTCATCTTCTGAAGAACACTGCTGTGATGAGTCTGTGCTTCTCTCATCATCCTCAAAGAGGATCTTTTTCACTTGCTCTGCAGTGATGCTCTCCTGGTTTGTCAGGATTGCACAAATTAAAGCATGGAAGTAGATGTTAAAGCTCATTGCTGACTGGCGATACAAATTGGCAGCTCCACTAATGCCAGAAACTTTTTTCAGCAAGCACTTTAATCCAGGTCTGGTATCAAACTCTCTGGCTGTTCTATAGGAATCCAGCAGTAAGTCGAAGATGACAGCCAGGTTTTGCATGGAGATGTACCTGAGAAAACCAGCCAACTTGTTTTCTGGTACTTGTATTGTCATTTTTTCCTCCAAGTTAGAAGGGCCTTTCACAAATTCCTCCAGTAAGATGTCATATAGATTCTGGAGCAGTACTTGGTGGGACAGCAAACTCACCACTATCGTCCTGAAAGGAATACTTGGTAAACCAAGCATGGGAAGGAAAAAAAGAATTAAAATGGTGCATTGTGCTTTTACAGGAATACTTCATGTTTCAGAATATAACGTGAAAGGCCAAATTTTCACAGCTTTGTTACAAAAAGGTGGAGGAAGATAAAGGTGTCTTTCAGTTACTTTTTCAAATACTGTTCTAGAAAGGAAGACACATCTTGATTAAGCTAAATATCTGCCTATAGCAAGCATGCTAATAGCACCTGTTGCAGAGATGGTATTAAAACAAAGCTCTATTATAATTTTTGTGTTTTTCTTCAGAGATGTCCAACACTGAGGGATTAAATGTGTTTCAGTTTCATGGCAGCTGCAAGTTCTTTCAACATTTAACCTGCCATAACTCAGGAATTTGTTAACAGTTCCTGCACTCGTATTTCAGGCAACCTTAACTCTGCCATGACAAATGGAGGCCAAAACTAGTTAAATACTTGGTTTCTATTTCCATTAATGCCAGGGGTACTACTTAAAAATAAAATACAAAGAACCAACCAACGAACAAAAAACATCTACAGAAACATCAGCAGTGCAATGGAGCATGCAAGATAGCTTAAGTCTTGCTGAAGGCACATTTCACTGTTTGCTCTTAGGACTTCAACTTGAACACTGAGGACCTAGCATAGAAATAACTATTCCTAACCCTGTTTCTCATATATAATCCTGGATGATTCCTAGCTGTGCTCCTGTTAGAGATGCTGTGAGTTGTTCTAGATCTCACTGATTTTTGAATTGCACAGGAGCCCAGGAATGGCTAATTCCTCCCACCAAAGTTTCAGGTCACCCACTAGTGAATAATGTTGAGAGGCTTACAGGCAAGGGAGGCTAGGAGGAAGGAGTGGCCAGGATTGTAGTTGTTTGGTATCTCATGGGTTTAAAATTATGAACTGTGAAACCTATCTTAAGGCATTTAAGAAAGAGCCTTCGACTAAGATTACAGAGGTGATGTTTTAAATGGAGCTGAGACTGTTACACATAGTAATATTTGTTTTGATTTAGGGAACTATGATGGGTCACATTTTAATTAGCACTGCTATCAAGTGAGAAAAATTTTTCAGTTTGCTTGCAATACTAAAGTTTAGGTCTAAGTCAAAGTAAATTCATGCAATACCTGATGGTCAGTTGTAGACCTTTAATTTTTTTTCTTGCAAAAATTATTCTACTTTCATTAAACAACTTTCAAAAGTGTTCCCAAAATACCAACAACAAAAAAAAAATTTTTTTTTTTTTTTGAGAAATCTAAATTTAGAGAATGCAACATTAAAACAAACAAGTTCAGACAAAACTCTGATGCTTGGGTTAATTTACCTGTGTCAGTTTGCTTACAATGACACAGCTGTCACTGCTGATATATTAGTAAAATGTAGTAGTCTTACTATCTGACAGTGCTAAAATCTTGATGATTAATATATACATTGGAGCTTTTTATGGGGAAGTCATTTTGTGCTGTAAAAATCATTAGAGACTGACTCAGAAAAGCTCTTAAGAGCATATATAAGGTTAAGTGAGTGTTTGTATTGATTTCAAGAGACTAATCCTGTTCCAAAAGCAGGATTAGGATGAAAGAGATCTGATTTCCTTGTAAAAGCCAAAAAGGCAATTTACAAGGCCAGTTTGAAGTCCTGCTCAGTTCCAAAGGAAACTATAGGTGAAAACACACAATGCCAAAGCTGGTTAAGGATAGGATTTTCTTATTCTGCCTGAAGTTTAAAACTGAAATATGTTATTACTTTTTAGGAAGAAGAAAAGCTCCCTTACCCCAGCTTCCTGTGAAACGATGCAGCATTAAGGAAACAAAAGCAAAAAGGAAGAAGAGAAACCCCACTAAAGTTAAAGTAAAACTTTTGAAAAGCTACAGTTACTAGCATGCAAGACTGGCATATTACTGCACTGCTGTAGCAAATAATATGAAAAACAGTGTCACAGTCAACCTTTGAGCCCTGTTTTGGTGAAAAATGAGCACTGCTGGGGTAACATCTGCCTATTGGCATACACACTTTTTGCAGTTGTTTAGACAAAGTGCAGTGTGGGAGCATTCAGAGTTTGTATTAATTGCAAGCTTTATTTGTTAGTTTAAAGACAAGCAAGACCCATACTACCTTTATGAACACAGCCTGTTAGATTTGCATAGCCTTATGTGGCGTGAGGGGTGTACTCCAGTCTTGTTCTGCATCATTATAACAAGAAGAATGATACGCAAACCTCTGGATAAAGCAGGTATGTTCCTGCCACAAGGGAAGGGGTTTAGACTGTGATCTCAACCTTTCTTTGTGCAGGGCCTTGTTCTCTGAAGGTGAGGCAACAGAGCATGTGCTCTGAGGTGAAACTTCTGTACAGCTGTGTAAGAATACAAACATCTTGCATGGTCTTTCTTCCTGTCCATCACGTTCTGGATCCTTGTTGCAAGCAATAGTTTAGTTTTGAATGAGAATGCCTGAAGTGGTACAGAAGCAGGTTTGGTATCTAGTAAAAGACAATTTCATGCCACATGTTACATAACTTGCAATACAAACACAAACCCTGAATGCAAAATTCTAATTCTTGTCCCTGTTGAAGTTACAGCAGTTGTTTGAGCAACTGAGTGCAAGCAAAAAGAAATATTCTTTGACAGGATCAGATTGTCATGCAAATGCATGAGTTTCTGAGGTGGTAACATTCAGGATTTCCACAGAAATAAAGTGCCAAGCAAAACCAATGTTCCCTAGATCAATATGTTGACAGTTTTGCAGCTTTGGGTGTGGTTTCTTCAATTTATACTTCTCCAGTTTATCCATTAACTTTTTCTACCTTCTTAATCCAGTAATACTGACTTTAAAAGACTATTAGTGAAGCAGACGCTATTTCATTTGCTAGGTATCATTACAAATGTAACAGTACTTCCAAAGCTCTCTTCAAACAGCAATTTTTGACTCTACTTAAAGAAAAGAATCTCAATATTGGAAAGATTTTCCTAGTGTTTCCTATGAGAACTCTTTTCTTAATTCAACTTTCATTTCCTCTACTTGAAGGCTTTAAGTGACCTTATGTATCCTTCAGGTATTTGTAACCTACTGCTTTTTACTATCTATCAGAAGCAGCTTCCTTATTTAGGTTTCTAAGGGCCATGTTAAGGACCCTGACACAGGCTCCTCTATCACTATAACAGCTCTTGCACATATCTGCTGACCAGTATGTGATCACAGTAACATCTGGAGAGCAGACAGTAACAATCTATTGTCTCCTTTCTCACAAAACCTAATTTTTATTTGATTGGTGCTTTTCATTTTTTGTTGAGACCTATGGAGAGGCATGGCTTGTCAGGCTCTGTTCACATCTCTGCCAGTCTTTTTAATCTTGTTTTTAGTGACACAGCATTTTCCTAATAAGTTATTTTACCTTCTCTGGGTATGCCCATTTGGTTTCTTATCTGGTGGCAGGTCAATGATGAGCACGCATGACTGGGCATGTTCAAATCCTTCCTTGTTGCTAGGGGTCTTTGGGGAGCACTGGGTCTCCAGCATGAAGACCTAAAAACCAACAAGTTACATAAAACAAACAGTTTAGCATTTGCACTAGGTCCTTGTTGGGGGCTGAGAAAAGTATTTCCTGCATTGTGAAAGATCTGTTATGATGACTTATTTTACAGTGATGGAGACAATGCAAGGTATCACTCCAGAAGACCTTTGCTGGAGTATGCTGCTTTGGTAAAATAGCCTCAGAGGCATGGGCTACCTCCAGACACCCAGCAAAGCACAGGACAAGAGACAGACATCTTTTTATTTCAAGTTCTTTAAGACATAATGACAAATGCTAAAACAAGCTTTCTGCTGTCTGTACGCTACTATCAGGAAATACCATTTATAGTGGAGAAAAGGACCTGTTTGTATAGTTAGCCTGTTGTTGTACCTAGGAAGATTAGTTGGAAGGTTTATGTTCAGCCATGAAGATCAAGCAGACACCCAACTTGCAATTCCTTAGGTGAGAAACGGGAAAACAACTCTCAGTTGCCGTAGCTTTGTTTTGTAGCTTGCTAGCTGTGTCAAATCCTCACTGAGAAAGACTTGGGGACTGCCGCTGATAGTGTCTAGTAGAAAAGCATATATGCCACATCTCCTGCTTTCTTGAGTTCTATGTCTTTAAAACTTAAAACATTTTTTTCCATTCAGACAAAATTCTGCCCCTGCCACATTATTTGTGATCACAAATCCTGATCTGTGTGTTTCAGATTTTCAAGCAGCATCAGGGTATGATTAATCAAGTCAGAAACTGACACCAAACAGCTGTTGGCTCTTTTAATTCAGCTGCTTTCCCATGCTGAAACTGTCATACTATATTCACAGTTTTACAGTACCCTGCTGGTCATTAAGTTCAGTCTGCTGTATTTCCAAAAACTTGTTTCATATTACCACGTTTACAAAATGAACAACCTCTACTGTAGTCAAAAGGACCCTGAGAAGGTTGTCTCTAAGCTTGCTCTGCTGATTAGGAGTTAGTGGTGAGTGTTAAACCATTTGTTAAATGTCAGCATTATCCTCTAGTTCTCAGAACCTCTCTTTGTTCTCTGCAATCTATACCAGGTACTTATAGAGAAAATTCCTCTTCAAACTCTCCTCTGATAGTTTGAACAAATATTGTTTCTCTAGTTTTGTATCACAGTCTCTTGCATTTGTTGTCCTTTGAATGTATTATTCTTCAACAGAGTAATGAGAAATGTATATGACATTCTAGATTAGGATTCATAGTGAAACTGCCATTTCCCCTTCTCCATCAGAAACATTTCCACTGATGTATGCTAGGGTTCCTGGTTTTAAAACTACATTACACAGTAGGCTCATCATCAGTCCTCCTCAGGTACTGAGGCATCTTTCCCCACCCTAGGCATTCCTAATTCCTAGTTACATGGAATCACTTTTAAGTCATTTTGTTTTTTTTCCTAGGTTTTATTACTTTTTCTCAATACTACTGTTAGACAAATAAATGTTAGGTGATGAGGAAGTCTTTGCCATAGGGTTTGTGAGGAAGGTGGTTGTAAAAATGTACTTTCATAAAGAAAAGTCCCAAGTTTAAAAGATTTTTCAACTTTCCCTGAAACATCAGTCAGTACCTGTTGTGCCATGGCTCTGATTCTCCAGTATTCAGCTTCAGCGCTTGGCGAAAGGGAGGGGGCTGCCACCTTCACTTCACAAGCATCTCCACTAAAGCTTTCAGAACCACTGTGGAAATAGCCCAATAGGTTCTATAGAGAGACACAACATCAGACTTTCACTGTGCGTTAAACAAAGTCAGTGACTGCAGCATTGTCCAGTCTCTTTGTGTGTCACAAGATTCAGAGTAATCAGTCCCATTACCATAGGCTGGTCACCTGTTCCTTAGCATTTGATGTATCTGATGTAAAGGCAATCCAGCTTTTTATGTGCTCCAGCCTGTGGTGACTTGACAGGACTTTTTGGTTACAACAAAGATAGTGAGTTGAGAAATAATCTATGGAGACCTATGGAGAATGCAGCTACAGGATCAAGTAAGCAACTTTGTCTTCTGCCTAGTTTCTGCCATTTCAGAGGAATAAATGGATCAAATGGTAAGTTTTCACCTTCTGATTTCATACTGGCAAGGACATATAAAATCAGCATGGGCTGTTAGAAGCTCGTGTTGTCTGTACATGTTTAGAAAAACTGATTATAATCTCCACTGTTGATACAACACTTTTCATTGTGAATTGACAAAGTAACGGAAGCTACCACATAATCCTTACACTTCTTTTCCTGGCTTTGTACCAAAAAAAATTTCTGAAAAAAAAAAAAAGCAACCTGTCCAAAGTTAGCGAATCTGTAACTAGTGTCATTATGTTTTGACTGTCAGAAAGAAAGGCAATTTACCTTTACTGGCTCCAGAGTGGCAGAGAATGCATCTTGCAAGGCACAACATGCAAGCCTCCACATCTCTTCAGTAAAAACAGGCCCTGCTGTCACTAACACATACCTGCAAAGATATGAGAAAACATTACCATGTTCAAGAAAGAGCTGGACAATTCTTACTTATAATGGGAGAAGGTTGAAAACAGAACAAAAGGCCTACTTGGTGACTAGCTAATGATATTCAACTTCCCCAGTTGTTACTCTGACCTATTTTTGTAATTACACTGTAGTTTTGAGGTTATTTTTTTCCTTTGATTTTCCTCTTTAAGTAGTCATCCTGCCAGGACAAGAACCACATATTGTGTAACTATATAATGCACTGCTTATTTTGATTGTGACTGTAAGAACCTGGAGACTGTGAAAGGTATTAATTACCTCTAAAGACCTGCAAATTCCAGCAGAAAGACCCTTGATTATTTTTCCTAGGGATTAATTATAGATTAATTTCATATATGTAATATACAAGTGCTTTTTATGGGAATCATATACATAGTAACGCCTAAAATCACAGGTTCTGAAGCAGACTGAAAGCAGCAAGAGAAAATTAGTAAGTCCAAAATTTATTATTCAAATAAAAAGAGATAGATGTATTGTAGTCTTCTTTCAGGATCTTAGACAACTTATCAGTTGAGGAGTTCTTCAAATAAAGACAACCTGTTTTGAATAGGCTAACAGAATGAACAGACTGTGTACCTGATACAAGAGCAGCCAACTCTGGAAATAATTTCTGTTGGTTCTGCTACACAGGCTACCAGCAACTTGAAAAGTTCTTTCAGCATAGTATTAATCATGTTTTCATAACCAATATCTACAAGGAAAAGATACAGACTGGTTTTAATATCATTGCTTTTTCACGATAATTAAAGTCTTGCTACACTTACTGCTATTCAGAGACTTTACAAGCCCAAATTATTTTTATGCAGCTACCACTGAAGTTCTATTTTGAACTATGCATCACATGAAACTGAAATAAGAACAATCCTTTTGATATTAACATAAAATGTCTGAACTGAAGTGGTACTGGAGAATTTCAGTTAAAGCCTGTTTCTGATATTCTAGTTCTTTATGATCAAGGCCTTAGAATATTCTTTTGGAAAGTATAATGTACACTGTGATGACTTCATTTTTAAGATAGCCCAGCTCTGAGCAGGAAGCTGGACTACATAACTTCCATAGGTCTCTAACAAGTTTGTTTTTTTTTCCCCATAATTCTAAACCTTATAAAGAAATTAAAACCCCAACCCAAACAAACAGAAATTTTCAACCCTCCTGCTCTTATTTTATGCTTGAGCAAACAAAAAAGCAATGAAATCATCTCCCCAAGTAGCTATTCAGTAACATGTCACTTGAGTCTATCAGTAGATGAGACAGTGCAATGACATACCTGAGTGTATGAAATTTTGAATGTGCTCCACTACGAGTTCACAGGAAAGGCCAATGGCATGCTTGAAATTAGCAGATGCCACATCCCAGTATGAATGGTCACCATGGCTGCGATGGAGCCAAAGAGACATCGTGGGAAGAAGAAGATGTACAACTGCATAAATGCCAAATCCTGGTCCTTAAAATAAACATAATGGTGGTTATGTATTTTTTTCTTACAAAGCCTATATGCACAGTAAATTTGCTAAATTGTTCCAAGCTTGAGGCCAGGGGTGATGCTAAGGAAAGCAGATCCTGAAACTTTTTTTGTGGGAAGAGAAAAGTAGGCTGGTTTGGATCTAGTTGTGAGGTGGGATATGAACACTTAGCCTGTTTACCTTAGCCTGTTTTACACTGTTTACCTGCTGTCTTTACCAAGCAGGTCTACAGGACTATATAATTTTCTGTTTTCTGGACACCAGGCAAACATTTTGTGTGAGTAGGACATTGATAGAGTACTCCACCTCTTTATTTGGGCAACAAGAGTAAGAATATACTTAACATACTTTCACAAGATGCCTTTTGTCAACATAGAACAATGCATTAACTGGATCATGCTCTAAGAAAATCCCTTTCCACTTAAGAATGTCTCTGTGCAGCTCCAGCATGAGTAACACACTTTACAGAATTGGTTTAGGATTCTAAAAGGTTTGGGTAAGGGCTCTACTAGCTTGTATTTAATCAACCTCTTTCATTACCAGGTGTTTTGGCAACGTCCCTCAGCAATTCAAACAGCAGATCCAAAGTAGGAGGCTGGTGCTGACGGGGACAGTTTGATATGGCTGTTGTTAATTCTTCTAGCAGAATAACCCAGACATTGATAAGGCCTACAAGTAAGGAAACAAAAGATTAAAAAACATGAGTGAGATATTGCATTGTCCACCAAACTTTCGCTCAGACAGTTATGGAGGCTAAGAAATCATGGATTCTTGCATGTTGACTGTTGCTGTGTAATGGTTGTGGGCAATATCAATTTTGAAATGAATGCCTCCTTTTTCTTCCCTTTTTATTAAGCTTGTGTTTTATCCCATCCTTCCTCCTCCACAGACACCTCATTCTGGTCTTCTTTCTTAGTTTACTACTCCCGCTAGTCCAGCCTCTTTAACCTTGGGTGGGGAATTTTAATTATTTTTTTGTTTTTAATGGGAGGTTTTACACATCTCACGAGCATTGCAAACGCTGCCAGAATGGAGCATACTCATTTAGGTTCTGCTTTTGCGTAAGGATCCAAGGTGACTAGCCGTAATTTTACTGGCTCTGTCTGGTACCCAGAATTGAACAGCAGTGATGCCTCATGAAGTATCACAAGCTGCTTCACGTGTCATGTTTAGATGTTAACAGGTCACAGACAGAAGTCTATTAAATGTGGATATGGCACAGCTGGACAACTACCAAGCAGCAGTTAGGATGCAGGTAGTACTATGAGTTCATATCTACATTAGCAAACATGAATGCTCTAAAAGATTACAGGATACAACTAGTTTTCAATTAAAAGAAAAATGATTTTACTTTGGTTCACTAATGAGCCCACCTTCTCTGCCACTGGTAGCCATTCTGAAGCAGGTCCAGAGAAGGGCAATGAAGCTGGTGAACAGCCTAGAGCACAAGTCTTGCAAGGAGAAGCTGAGGGAACCGGGGTTGTTTGCCTGAAGAAAAGGAGGCTGAAGGGGGACTTTATCACTCCCTACAACTACATGAAAGGCGGCTGTAGCAAGGAGGGTGTCAGTCCCACCCCAAACAAAACCAAACATAGAAAAGTAAAAGTGTGTTAATGGTTTTTGTTTGTCGTTTTGTTTTGGGTTTTGTGTTTGTTTTTTGTTTTGTTGTTGTTGTTGTTTTAAACTAGCATTTATGGTTTAATTTCTTTTCAGAGAGCAGCTTTTGTCTCCAAGGTAGCAGTGGAACAGAACAACCCATGTGATGGAAGAGCCTAGATAAAAGTAGGTACCAAGAGTTATTCTGGTGAAGCATGTGAATGAAAGGCACTGGAGTCAGCCTGCTTTCTGCCTGGCTGGAGCTGGCTGGCTCTTCACAGGGACAGCCAGGTCAGAACACTTCAGTAGTTCCGATATTCAAAAGTGTACTGCTTCCAAGTGCCATCATGAGTCCAGAAGCAGTAATGCTGCATTCCTCTACTGCTTGGCTCCACACAGACCTAGTTCATCAAACATCTGATTAATCTACAACTCATATAACCACAAAAATGATCAGGAGACAAATGCTGCTTGTTTTTCTGAAGGTCATAGAACTTTTTATGGACTTCAGAAATACACCATTTAATTCAATAGACCACAGGACAGAAGTTTGGAAACATATTTAAATGTACTCTTTTTCTTTCTAAACTCTAACTCAACACTTATTTTTCCTGGTAAAGGCAGGCCTACCAATAGCAGCTTTAAAAGGATTTCACTCCTTCAGCTGTGCTCTAGAAAGTATTCTTGTATTAGCTCTCAGAAATCAATACTGGTTATATTATGGATATCAGAGTAATTAAAATATTATTATCTTGTCCTATGAGAGAGGTTTTATTTTTCTTATATATGAGCTGTATCTTTTAATGTAAAGAAGGTGACATGACCTGAACTTCCAAGCTCTGTGTGTGCACATCTGTGTGTATAGACAACAAAGAGGAAATAAACTATGAAGTTTTTCCCCTCCTTTTTGCTTTTGGCAGTTGGCAAAATTTACAGTGACGTGTGGAAGAAGCAATTGATTAGTTCTGTATTTACTGCTTTCAACGCACTTACCAGTGTCATCATCAAAGTCGGAAAGGATGCACTCAATACCATCCTCACTGCTGGCTGATTGCTCCTGCGCTCTTCGGGGCAAGTTAACCAGCCGGCCACTGAGGAAGATGGGTTTCAAGGGCATTTTATAGATTTTGGCTAACAACTTGGAGGGTGGAGGAGGGAGAGAGAGAAAAAAAAAGAGAAGAAAAAGTAAATGTGTAGGGAAACTGCACCTATGACCTTAGAAGCTCCATCAATCAGCTGTACACAGAATATTTTGGAGCTCTGAAGGACTAAGTAAATAATGATAAAAGTACAGGTTTACTTCAGAGCTTCATTGCCTGGGTTGTCCATTTTGCAACAAATAATACACACTTCATGGAACTTTGCTATAGCTGGGAAGCTACCCGTATTTTACTAGACCTTTCTAAAGTAAATGCTGTATTTGCAATATACAGACAGGATTTCTTTTTAGTCATTCCTATTGTTCTTCCACTGACAGGTTAAAAGATATAATAAGATAAAAAATGGCTACTTTTTTTAAAGAGGAGAAAATATTTCTGCCTCATTGTGATTTGGGTTTTGTAAGGATGAGGAAAGGTGATGTGATGCAATGCACACAGCCTATAGATAGAACATACATTAGATATACAGACAGGTATTCACTACATTTTCTTAGATGAACAAGATAGACAGTACAGATTGATATGTCTGCTGTTTATTACTTTGAGCTGCCTCATTCTTTTCTTCTCCTCTCAGTCTATGTACTGAATCCACCCATTATCTCTGAATTTAGATATTAAATCCTTTCAGCTATGATAATATCCTTTGTTATGCATTTGTATTATACCCAGAGAAAGCATGGCCTGAGTCCAACAAAAAGACCTGTATGTGCTACAGAAATACATCACATCAGCAAAACCCACCCTAATAACCCTGGATAATAGTCTGTGCTGTGTGCAAGGAGATTACAGGAAACATGTCAGCATTCTAATTCTTAGAGATCTGCCCTGAGCTTCAGATATGTTTTCACAGTACAGATAAGCTGCAGCTGCATTTTAGAGGGTGTAACCTGTTGCTCTTCTTAAGGTCTGAAAATTCTTGGTTGGGTGGTTTGTTTGGTTTTTTTCTGCCTTCATTCCAAACACTATTTACAGTACCTGTTTCAGTAAGAATGAATGCAGCTTTAGATGTATTACTGCTAGGTTTTGAACACTCACATTTTCCCACATGCTCCTTGGGTCTGCGTGTTTTTAACTCCTCAGTTTTAGGTGGCTTAGAAGGTATGAGATTCCTTCAGATCGCCACTCTCCAGTGAAGGTTATTACCACAGTCTGGAGGTTAGAACCGTTTCCTAGGTCAGGTTAGTACATGTTCACCATACCTGAGAACATCTCCTGAGGTAATCAAGAGCGGGAAGGCACAAGTCTGTAGATGCAGGTCCTGATCCTGGCACACAGTCACCCATCTCCTTACAATCTACTTCCCCTGGGGACAGGAAAGGCAGCATTGGGAAGGACAGAAGAGAAACAAACATAGCATTAGGTTTCCATTTTCTGTCAGTTGTGCCCTAATATCTGAACAGAATCCAAACCCCATCCTTCGTTTGATATTATTAGATGACAAGCAGATGATCCTCATACAAACAGTACATTAATATTGGTCACAGTTTATACATGGACTTTTATATGAATAAATGTTTTAATAAATACATGCCTATTTCATAACTCTTCAGTAAAGTCTTTGAGAGTTCTTATAATCATACTTTATAGTCATCTGTCATATTGACCCACTCCACTTTTTTCCATGGTTGTATAAGTTACTTGCTCATATTCACCCTTTGCTTAATTAGTATGCTCATTTTTTCTATTCATTTTCACCCCAGTGCCCTAGAAAATTCTTCTACCAAAAGTTCTTCCTTTTAGATTATTTTATATTTTGTGCTACAGTATTTCCTTTTGCTGTCTAATTCAGGTGTCAAGGTCTCAGGTTCATCTCTATGACAGCTTCAGGCTCTAGTGTCACAGTATCGCAGCTGTTATTAATTCTGTGGCATCAGCAGACTCCTGCTTTCAGGTCAGCTTTACCAAGTGTATTAAATAAGCAGATCGGTTCCAAGGCATCCAAAGGTCCTCCCTGGATAACTCCATTCACTGTAACATTTTCCTTGCCTGCACAGTCTCTTTTCCTCCCCTCTCAGCCAGTGTTCTGCCTACCCTAGAATATTTGGCTCATAACCATTTTTCCAATTTAGCCGAATATTTCCCATTCAGTGCCAGATCTGAAGCTTTACCAAGTGCCCTTATACATTAACATTTTATTGCCTTAAAAGCTATTCCTCTCATAAAATCCTGCAAGATAAATATGAAATCCTTTTATTAAATCCTACTTTATTTTTCTTTCACTACATTTACTAGCATTTTCTATGCCCGTAACTGTATCTTCCATTATGTATTTTAAAGTCTTGTCTGCTATTGAGATCAGCTAAGTCAGCTAGTTTCAATCCTTTAGTTTTATGTTAAAATGCACATAAATGTTAGCATATTTGCTATTGCTCAATACTGAAGTATTTCACAGTCCTATTACCTTTAATAAAAAAACAGGGTCTTTTTTTGTATTACCATTAACCTCTACATAACTTTGTTATCTAAATTATATAAAGTTATATGTGAATGAAGATGAAACATTACTCAATGTTTCATCTTGCATTTTGACATGTTACCATAAAGCGGACAAACTTACCTTATAAAAGTAAGAAACCTAAAGAAATGAGAGACTTTTCAGTTCTCCAGAAGGAACATCAGTTCCCTCTACTGGCACTGGACATGCAAGTTTATTTCTCTTTCATAGTAATAACTACAGTTCCAGTCTGTCAACACAAGCTGAATTTTGACCCTGCTGAAAATGATGGTAAAATAGCTTAACAAGGTGAGAGTAAAATTAAAGAGTAGATCTGCTGCAGTTAGGTGCGTCTTTTAAATCAAAGTCCTTTACAGACCCAGATACTTCTGTAAACTAATATAAATGTAAAACATGAAAGCCCCATTTTACCACTCATTAGAAGTTTTGCATATTACATAAGGAAGAAAAATACCACTGCCACAGTTCAAGGAGAAGTGTCAAATTCTGTTGATCAAGGCAAGACAGGGAACACAAATGGGGCAAAAAGACCCACCACCATTTGCCTTTGTTCTGAAGTTTGGTGAAGCACCACAATTACTCTGCAGTCACATTGACCTGACACGCTTGGTCTCCACTGCTCTCAGTAACGTAACAAAACACGAGCCATGGGGACAGAGTGTTGCTGGTTGCCATGCTCATGATCCTACTGGAAGGTCAGCAGGCTTTCAGTGTTGCATACACCAGACTACTGCTGCTGAGGTGGGCAAGGGAAGAAAGGACACACAATAAGCAAGTCCTGATGCAAATCAGGATAAAATGAAGCAGACATTTAATAGAGAGATACATCTTTGCTGCTGTAACAACTTGAAGAATTGATAGCATTAGAATTGTTCCTGAAATAATCCCTTAGTCTTATATTATATTATACATTATATTTTATTTTAGCATTCTGAACGCAATTTCGTCACTGCCTCTCTCTTCCCTACCATACTACGTGTTACAAAACTGAATTCTACTCTTCTGCAGGACCAAGTTTGACATATCATGACTTAATAGGATACAAAGAAAATAAAAATATTTACCCAGTCCTTTGACAAACTTCATAAGGCACATAATATAACTGGTGGCAGCATTGGCAAAGACCTGGATGCTGTCTGTGTTTAGAAATGCTTCAAAGACATCAAACACAGGAGCCTGGCGTTTCCCTGTGAAAATAACAAGATGAGAACTCTTCCCCATGTCCCGTAAAGCTGATTTTCCAACAGTTTTTCAACAATTTAACTGAATCTGTAAAATCTCTTCTCTTCTGGGCAGACAAAGAAATTACTTTACAAGTAAGACTTTCTACTGCTCCTGAGGTAATTTGTGTAGTCCTTAGGAGAAAGTGATGCAGACTCCCTGCTTTGCCTTATCTGTGAAAAACAGCAGCTTAAGTCTGCCCAGATAGTAAGAGCAGGCTTGAGGTCTTGATCTCAGCACAGTAGCTAACACTTCTGTTTGGTGGAGGCTTGTGGTTTAGTTCCTGGTAACTGCCAAGATGACAGCAGTCACACTGAGAACTATTCAGACTATACAGTAACAAAAAAAGCCTTACTTTTTCTATGTAGATTATTGGTAAGAAGTAGGAAAACCATATCCCTTACACGTGACTTGTAACATTTAAAAATACTAAAATACTTTCTAAAAGCAAAAGAACAGCTTAAAGTGATTTTCCCTTATTACCCAGTTTCCATACAAGCAAACATCTCTGCGAGAGATGCAGAATCACTCTTATTACAGCAAATATGGTTTGAAATAGCACTAGTAATTTGAAGCCTTGAGGTTAAATGTCTGGACAAGCACTTGGCTAGATTATCCCACTAAGTTACCTTCATGTGTAAGAGCAACAGGTTTTACATAGTAAGAAAAACAGGCCATATGAGACATGGTGGTTTAACACAGTATACTTCCCTTTCTCTAGCAGGACAGTGACAAGGACCCAGCCAAGCTCAGCATTCCCTCACTACTGTTTTGCTCAAAAAATTTCAAGTATTAAAGAAAAAAATCAAAGAAAGAAGAAAAAATTCAAGTATGTTTAAAGCATTTCTTCCTCATTCTATTTGTCTGCCAGAATCTAGAGGAGAAAAAGTCAGAACAATACCTCTCTCTCCCTCCCACCCCAGCTAATAAACCAGATAGTTCAGTATAGTTGTGGAGTCTTGCAGTGCCACTGCTAAGTACCACTATTCAGGTAGGGCATTTAAATATATTCAGTTAGTTATTGCATCCCCAAGGAATAAGATAGGGAAACAAAAGCATCTATGAAACAGTCAGTGCAGTAAGTCCTTACCCATAGAGTATTCTCCTACAAGATACTCCTTAACCTCTGACTTGCTGCTGCTGTGCACTGTTTCCAGGGCACTGAACAGGGGTCTCCATCCTGACTGGATCTGGGTAGAACACATTTCCACCAATTCTCCTATAGAGGTGACCACCTGCAGACAGTGTAGGAGAGGTTAAAAGAATAAAGCCCCAAACCAGAACTGATATATAAATAGACCTTCAGAAGGAATGAGGATGGCTTTACACACATTCCTGGATTTCACTATGTCAATCTAGACTCATTCATTACTTTATTTTAGATAATAGAAAAGTTTTATTAAATTGTTTCAAAGGCAGGTGTACTCTCTGTGTGCTCTACCACAATGCAGGCTTAGGGAGGCAGCACACTTCTGATTCCTTGAAGATGATTGAGGGGCACCATTTGAAGGGAGTTTGGGAAACAATCTCAAGTGGACCAAGTGCACTCTGGAGACCTTCATGTGGACTTGGAGATCCTTCTTGTGGACACGGTAGGCTAGATGCAGACACACTATTCAGGGTTGACTTGCCTGGTCTTGGACATCCTCATCACACAGCTCTAGCTGCATGATACGCTCAAAGGGGCGGAAAAGCGCCTCATTAAAGTGAAAATGAGAAGGCTCATTCCAGTCCGTCAGCACTTCAGTGAGGATGTCATGGATGAAGGAGACAGCCTTCCGAGACACATGTCTCTCCTTATGACAAGCAGCCTACAGGGAAAGGAGGAACATTAGTTTACCCAAACAAAAAAATTTGCTTTTAGTGAGACACTTTTAATGGAGGTAAGCATTTCAAGTTGCTGAACCCTAAAAACAGCTACACCACTAAGTGATTTAAGGCCCCCACTGCAATGAAAATGGGAGTCACAGCCATAGAAACAGATGGCTGAGACTCTTGAGCTGCTCAGACTCCCAGAGATGCACGAAGGCTTGCTGACAATTGAAAAAGTACAGCTAAAAATAAGTTAAATAACAAACCCTATAGAACTTGTGTGAAATGTTGGCTTTTGTTTCTACTGTGTGACCATTTTTTTATTCAAAAAGGTGGTTCCTGCATATATTCACCTTACATATCCATGCATGACCAAATGCCACTTTTTATTTGGCTGTTTATGGAATTTACAGTGAGAAGGTTCTCATCACTTTTGAAAGAGCTATTAAAAAATTAAACAAATGAGAAACTGGATATAAAGGTATTGTATTGAGGAACTACACAGGTTATGCTAAATTATGTCCTTTCCCTCATGTTTCTCCTTCCCAGTAATGCCCTTATCTGCACTCAAGTCAACCAAAAAGACTGACCAGCCCTGTATTCTAAAAATATGGAAGGCACTTGAGTTTAAACTGGCTTGGGATCTTGAAAGTCTTAAAAGCATTCAAAACATGACAAGCATTTAAAGTGGTCTCAGGCTGGCATCCAAAGGTGAGACACCAGTTTTCAAAATAAAGGGATGTTAAAGCATACAACAGAAAATTCTCTGCTGTTTCTACTTCACTTAAAAGAATTCCACAAAGACTCCCCAGTGTCTGAACTCCTCTATAAAATAGTCTACACTTTTCTTTGAGTCAATGAAATAAAATGCTATGGCAATTAAGCGAACAGCTCATCTTAAAACTCCAGAGAGGCATGCTCCCATTAGACCTGGGCAGATGACACTACATACACCTTACTGTCAGAAAGAAAGGAAGTACTGCACATTTATTTGTCGCAATGATACAAATTAAAAAGCTCTGAGAAGTCAACCCACCAGTGTTTCACCAGTTGACTCAAAAGTTTGTCTGTGGAAATGTCATTTGTTATGACTGAAATCCATTATGTGGCTGCTATTAGCATGCCACTGACCAGGGTTCACCAGGCAGAAGGAAATGGAAAAATGTCACCATCTTGCCAGTTGAGCTGACTTTATGTGGGAAAAGAAAGCTGCATCCTTTTATGGGAAGACTTGCAAGGATGCAGACCTAGGCTGGGAAAATAGGTAGATAGAGGAGTTACCTATAACCTCTTGGGGTGGTTTCAGTTTTTTCACCACAGACACACAGGAAGTAGCATATTGCAAAAATCCAACACACTACCACTGGACCTGCCCATTTCAGTTATGCAAAAACATTCTTTTCAGAAGCAGTATTGATACAATATATTGTACATCTGCTGGTGGTAGTCATAGTTAGTTGTACATGTTAGGAACTTGAATATGGGTCAAGATGACCTTCAGTAACTATAAGAAATTAATGAGTGAAACCAGGACTTGGTTCTGTTCAAAAGATCCAAAGGGCAACATCCAGGATTGATTGCACCAAGGATAAGTTATTTGACAGCTTGGCAAAGTGACTATTTGATTATTCAGCTTGGCAATGAAACTAACCTTTAAGGTGTCCTGAAGTGAACTGCCTTCATTATAATACTGCAAATCACACCACCAGGTGACAAAGACCCCAGCCCAGCCCAGCCCAGCCCTCCTCTTAGCATGCATAGCAATTAGAAGGAATGACACAGCAAATACTGTGTGTTGATTACTGACCAAATACTGGGAGCGCACAACCTTGTAGCTTTTGTAAGATGAAATTCAGGTGTGTTTGATTTGTGGAAAAGTCTACCCAGTACCCAGGCCTGTAAACAGTATTTCTCCTGAGCTTGTGGAATTGGTTTACTGCACGCTGGGTATGAATACAGTTTTTGGACAAACAATATCATAACATGTGACACACTATATACAGTGTCCCAACAGGAGTCTAAACAGAATTGACAATGCTGACCTTGACTTCTCCAGCTTTTTCAACTTTGCCATGTCTTGCACACATTCCCATTCTCTCCCCTACTCCTACCTCTACAAGGTGGGGTGCCACCAGGCTCCAGCAGCGCATAAGGTGGAGCAACGGCCGAGATTTACTCCTTATGATTCTGAGCATGGCATCACCAAGTCGGAACAAGTGAAGTGCACTTCTTCTGTCCTGGGTAGATTTCACTTCACCTACAAGGAAGTATGAGAAAATAAATGGATATTTATAATGGAGCTGCTCCTCCATCTCTGGAGGTCTAAACTGGAATTTAAATCAGGTAAGAAATTATTAGTATTAAGTTGAGGGTGGGAGGGTGGTGGAAGAAAAAAATAATAAAGGAATTAATGTTTAGGTTTGAACTGCAATGCAACTGAAATGATTGAATTTTACTGCAATACCTACGCCTGTGTAGGTGAAAGAAAGATGGACCCAAGTTTTAAAGAAAAAGGCTTGGAGAAGTAGTGCAGAGAAATTAAGCAAGGAATTAATTGAAATTAAGACAAAAATAGTAGCAGCAAAACCCTTTAGTGACATCTACAGGAAATATAAACTATAAATATAAACTACAAATGATTTAGTTTCGGTTTGTCCTTTTTATTTCTTCTCAAGCAAAGGATACAAAGCAGAGAACATGAGAAAACACTTTTCCTCGGCCAGTAACAGTTGTTATTTCCTGTTGAAAGAAACTAATCTTCCATTGCTCTTACAACATTTGGAAAGACGCATCATTCTCTCATTTAAAATATGCCAGTACTTTTATCTTTAACGTAAGACATTATCAGGGGGCATATCACTTTTAATATCTATTAAAAGCCATTATGTGCTCCATTCCAAGTCTTACATACATGATAAGAGGATCACTATTTACTGGAAAAAAAAAAGATGAACGTTGTGGCCTTGAGACAAGAAGCTTGTCAGACTGAGAAAATGACAAGCAGCACTTCTGGAAGAGGGGAAACCAATTACACTGGAGACATATACCAGATAAAATCCATGCCTGACACAGGACAAAAACAAAACCCATATGACTAATGTCACTTCTAAAGGCAAAATACAAATTTAAGTGAAATATATTCCTTTGGGTTCAATCCTTCTGCCCTGTTTGACACAGTGATGGAAATGACAATTTACAGGCTGTGAGGTATATGGTCCACTCTGCTGGGGAGGAAAAAGCATGACAAACCCCATTGCTTTATATAATATTCTCCAGCTGCGTGCTTTGTTTGCTGTCACCCATTTTCTAAACACTTCTGAGGCTATCCCACTGTCAAAAGTCTAACCTAAATCCACTCTCTTAAGTCTACATTCACCCAAGTTTCTTTACCGGATTAGATTCCAAAATGGAGCTTTGATGAAATATCTGTGTATAATTAACACTCCCGAAGTCCAAGAACCAAATGAATGTCCTCTGGAGTATTTCATAGAAGATGTGGGTGTGATCTCTGTCCAAAACAAAGCGCTCAACCTTTTCTAAAGACTGAATTGGTCCTACAGAAAGATCTTATTAGACTAAATACTGTGGTTTATGTATAACTTGAAATTTCAATCAGAAAAATTAAACCTGTAAGAATACAAAGCAAGTCCTATAAGCAGTTCAGTTGTATATGAAACACAGAGCTCTGCAAGAGATCTTCAGTAGATTTTACCTGGCATTGCTAGGGAGTAATCAACTGTATCTGTGACTGAATGGAAAAGCTGGGCCTGAGAAGCCTTCTTGAGCTGGTAAAGGAAGCCTGCCAGTGCCATCAGGTTTAACTTGTCAGCAGCATCTTCAAAGAGCCTGTAGTAAAAGAATTGAATCTAACTGAAAAATTCATTAGATGCAGACTTAAATATCTAAGAAGAAAACCTGTATCTTTTACACGGCTGCTATGTGCTGCATTTGGTGACACATGAGGTTATTTTCATTTACATGGTGCCTCATGAAGACTTTGATCCAGAAACTTTAATTGGAGGGTGGAACGTAGGATGCTGTAGGACCAGCCAGACACCTTCCTAGATTAAACTCAGGTACTAAAACAAAAAGTCACTTTTTAAAGGAACTGATGCATTCCCATTAATGCTGTAAGCAGTTCATGAACCAGTAATCAAAAAACCAGCAAGAATATGCCTGGTCCTCATGTCACAGATCATCACAGCTTCACTGGCATTGCACTAGTCTGCTCCATCCAGTTACAGCCCCTTACGTGCAAAACAAATTAATTCAAGTCTTAGATGTAAAGTTGCTGTACCAGAATTCTCTTTTGGAATATAAGCAATAGTTGTTATTTTCAGCTGCAATGAGCTCTTAAGACTTAAAATCTGTACCCTTAACCCAGCAAACACGCTTATGTAGGAGGTGGGTTCCAGAGAGATTAAAGTGAAAGTTCACGTGGTGCAGCCAAAAGTTGATACAAATACAATTTTCTGACCTTGTTTTTCGTGAAAAACGTCCTATAGTCCTAGAAAACTGGGGACTGAGTCCTAATAAAATCAGCACTGAAGTAAAAGTTCAGAATTCAAACCTGCATCATTAAATTACAGTACTGCTATTCTCTAATCCTTGGAAGTAAGTTGTATTGAGAACTTCCTAAATAAAAGATACTCTCCATGCACAAACTCCTATAAGCAGTGTCAGTATGCATTGCTTTTTCCTTGAATTTACAAATATCACCCTCCTGTGGGCAAAGAAAAAGAATGTAAAATGTCACCTGGAAATAAAAAGGTTACTAGAAGCATGCCAGGAAATTTTAAACTCTTGCCTTAGCTGTTGAAAGAATAGCAGAAATAGCAAAAATATCTGTGACATATCTGTCTGAAGACTGTGTTTTAGGGACATTTAACCTAGCCATTCTGTGACCATGCTTGATGGCCCTTTCTCCTGCAGGTCTTTTAGGGACTGCTGGTTGTGCAGCACTCTTGTGAAACTCAACTGAAAGCAAGTGCCTGCAACAGACAAAGGTCACTCCCCATTGCACCACAAAAAGGTCCATTCTGATCCTGTTTTGGGAACAAAGCTGCTGGTTCCCAAGAGCACTGCTTGTACCTGTCAGCTTGTGTAGAAAGCGTGAGAACAGCCTTGGCAGCACTGGTCCCACACAGCAGACTGCCTCCACGGAAGTCAAAAGCTCTGCCCTTACTGCTCTCCTTGATGAGTTCCTGGATAGAAACCGGCTGAATGACAGGATTGTTGCTGAGGGTGGTCTCTTGCTCAGGGGTCAGTGCCTGGGCAGAGTCCCCAGGCTCAGAGTCTGTGTGCAGCCCTGCAGGTGCCTGCTGTGACTGGGTGATGGTAAGGGAGGGCTGGGAAGCACCATCACTGAAGTGGGTGTGCTCCAATGTGCTGATGTACTCACAAACCCTGAGAACAAACAAAGAAGAAAAAAATGAATAAAACCCACAAAAGAACACCTCCTCCCCCCACCAATCACTAGGCTCACTGAATAAATGCTTACTCCAGAGGTGAGTCAGAAGGATTGTACAAGTGCAGCTCTTGGCTGCTTCAAAGCCCCATCACTGCGAGAAGCCAGTTTACATGGAAACCCACTGCCAATTTGCAGGCACTGATTACATCTGAACCAGATACAAAGCACAGGACATTTTCCTCAAACCATAAACAGGCAATCTCAAAGTCTCAGACTCAGACGTAGAAAACTTGTCTTCTTATATCCTTTGGCCTCCTGTGTGCCTAGACAGCAAATAGTTCAGTGAAGCTGCCTGAAGAGCCCATTTAGGTTCCTGGGTCGGTCAGAGTCAGAACTTCAACGTTTCTAAGCATTGATTTTGTCTCTGAATAGTGGTGGAAAACAGTAACATCTTTCCTCCTACAGTTGCTGGAGGTTAATTCTCTCTAACACTGTTTATACAGAACACTCCCAAAGTACCTAAAGTCCTTTTTCTCAGTCTGTTATTTTCAGGCAACATGGTATAAATTCTGTTTCTTTCGAGAATGCTGGTGAGTACCTGAATACATGAGGCCAACAGTCCTGATTGTGGCTTCCCATCTCCAGGCCCACATTAAGAACTGCATCCATACACAAAACATGAGCAGTGTGCAGACACACTCCCTGCACTTTGCCCATCTGTTCCAATTTCTGCTCCACTTTCTGTTTCACTGCAGCATGAAAAAAAAACAACAGACAACCCACATTAGCATCTCCAGCTTTTGAACAAGCACTGGCTTGTATATAAGGTAATGGCAAATGCATACAGTTTGAGAGCTATATAAGAACATGGAAGTTAGACCAAAAAAATCAACAGAGAAACACCTTCCTTGCTAAGAAACATAAGGCAGTTTTAAAATTAAAATCCTTTTTGACTGATCTTATATGCATGGAAAAAAAATCAATGCCAGATTGACAACCTCCACCCCCAAATTCACATCTTGTTGCCCACAGAACAGATGCAGATTGCCAGCGATATTACATGCTTCTCTTTGGAGCTGGCTGGCTGGATATTTATTTTTACCAAAATCTCCTTTGCTATAGGAAAGAGTTTGTGTATGTCACATCTATTTCCATGCAAAAGTTTCACCAAAAAATTTTGTTAATGGGTAATCCTGTCAAAGTAAAACTAATCCTGACCTGAACTACACGCATTTTGACCTCATTCTTTTTCCTGAGAATCTCTGAAAAGCTTAGTTTTCATGCTGCATTGGAATGGAACCAAATTTTGAAGCTTTGCAAGCTTTCACAGAACACATCCGTTGGCCTGTGGCCACTGCTACTGCCTCCTGTTTGCTTCACCATGGCCTGGCCAACTCACTTCAGTCCTATCCAGCAGAGAAGTCAAAAGCTAGTTTGTGCCCAGGCATATTCAGCTTTGTTTTCTCTACTGAGACACCAAATTTGAGTGCCAGGCAGGGTCATTTGTGCACCACTGTTTTGTTATGGGCTTCTTGTCTTTAGAAATAGGGTGTTATCAGACAAATCTTATGTGCTTCTCCAAACAGTGAGAACAATTCAACAAAAACTGTTGAAGACAACAACTAAAGTTGACCTCCACTGGGTTTGGGGGTTTGGAATTATGGTATAGAGATGCAGAACTTTCTACCTGTTATAAATATATATATATATATTTATTATTCCAGCTTCATTTAACATGATTCAGAAATAGTTTTAAACAGCTGACAATGACAAAAGACAATCAAGGATGTATACACAAGACTGGTATAGGGATGCAAACTCAGCTTTATACTACCACCCAATGCATTAAAAAAACATAAATTGTTTCTCTGATGCTCTCTGGTTGTACTAGTTTTACACAGCTTAAAAAGTGCACTTTGCAAAAATGCTGTTCTATTGTTCCACTGATTTCAGTTCCACCTAAAATATAATTAGTGTGGCATAATGTTAAGAGAGCAGGACATGTACTGAAGCCTCTAGGCATATGTCCCATATACTTACAAGTGAGTGCTGCACATCAGTGGCATTCCCCTACATCCTTCTTCCATATGTAGCAAAGTACTTTCCAGTAGCATCCTTACAGGCAATACAAGGTAAGACAGGTAATTTAATCACACTGTTACCTTGAGCTATAGTATCACTGGGCTCTTGGATTTCTTTTTCCTCTTTCTCTTCTTGGACACAGGAGGCAGCAGCCATTTGGGCAAGAGCAGATGCACAGTTAGCAGCAACTCCTGTAAATGAACAACACAATTAGTATTCAACCAGCATCTTCTTCCTAATCCCATGCAGTCCCAACAACAGGTTGTGTGATGGAAAGTTGGCTGGATATGTCTATGCTGTACGGCAGGTACCATATAGGTATGGGGAGTCCTACAGTCCAGGTTCCTATTCAAGACTCAAACAGGATGCTGCTTTTCTCTCTCCCAAATTCCTTCAAGGGAGGATACTATCCTACTTTGTAAGAAGTCTGCCATGACATCCCACATGCAGCAGTACCTAGAGCACAGCTCAACCGGGCTGCTCTCCTCAGTCCATCCAGGCTCACGCAGATGGAGTCCTTCTCCTTTTGGTTCTGCTCTTTGGCTCCTTCTGCTCCCAAGATGAATGCCAGCCCCTTGGAGCTGCCTGCCATGCGGCCAGTCAGTGGTGTGGACAAAGTGTCAATTAAGTTCTTCCAACAGCCGATTAAAATGTATCGGGCAAAAGCAACTCCTGGAATGAGAAATGCGTTACTACTGCTACTACTGGAAAACAACACAACAGCAGCTTTATTATCAGCGGCAAAAAAAAAATGTATCATATTTGTCCTCTGCATGCTGGACAACCCATTCACATTTAGGATGCATTGACATACATCCCTCAACCATTAAACTATTCTAAACCACATATGCTTGTTGCTTATAAAACCCACTGCTGGTAGTTATACACTTATAACAATCTTAATACCTGCAACAACAGAATCATCTGTCTTCTGGTTTTGGGAAAGAGGCGATTGAGCTGAAGCAGATGCCATTAGCTGGCCACCGATTGCACTGCTTCCCAAGCCATCAATGTCTGCCAGAACATTAAAAACAACAGATTACTATTTGAGGCACAGATGGTATAAGGAAAGCATCTCCTACTCACTTTTTGTTCAAATAAGTACTAGGCACTCCCGACTTTCTGGTATGATTTTTAGTCGCTCTTTTCTGCCAGTCTTCTGAAGCCTTGGCATAAACATGAGCTGTGACATCTTATGCTTTACCCAGTATAATCAACATTTTCTTGAGGAAGGGAAATATTCCACTCTCAAAAGTCCTCCCTTACCCCCCCCAGTTACACAGTCAACAGAACTCTCAGCAAAGATTTAATAGTATTTCTTAGAGTTGAGAACTTCCAACACTCTTAAATCTCCACATTTCTTAGTATAACCTTTGAAATTTTGCTAAATCCTGTATCTAGATGTTCCTGGACATCCGCCTGAGTCCTCAAGATGCACTGGAATCCTATGTCCTGAATACCATTTTTAGTAGACCTGTATAAGTTCAATCTCAACAAAATAAAGAAAATGAATTACAACCCTTTCTCCAAAACTTCAAAAGACCAGTGTCTCACAGATAGTTTAATGTTAAGGATGTCAGGTTGATTTCCTTTCCAGCAGCCTGTGACTGTCTTGTCTTCTCCACATACTTCATGGCTATTGTTTTTCTCAATTGTTTCTTTCAGCTTCCCAGCTCAATTGCTAAAAGCAACAGTGAGCTCAATACAATCAGCAACAAACTATCAGAGCAGTGCCCTTTGATTACCACTTAATAGCTCAGCGGAAGCCAGTATTCTCCCTGCATACAATGTTTTAATTACCTCTTTGTAATCATACAGTATACACATTCAAGCAGACAGTGCACTGTATATCAATACAGTATCATAGGCATTGTGCTGCCTTTCAGCTGATACAATTTGATTTTTCCCCCCTCAAATGAAGCTAAGGATTGTTTTTAAGCATTTGTTAAAGGTGCCCCAGGTTTTCAGCTTCTCTCCAGGGCCATTTGGCATATCCCTGGCATAGCAGAAATCTGAACTAAGGGGAGCCAAATCTGTGGAAGGCTTCCAGGATCAGACACCATAATTTATATTTGTACTGCACCACAGGCACACTGAAATGGCTTTGCTATGGCAGCAAGAAAACAGCAGCCTTACCACTTACCATTAACAGCTACCAAGTCTACCAGAACTGAGGCTGAGGAGACTGGTTCAATAAACAAACCTACTCTTCCTGTCTCCCAGGGACAGATTGTTTTTAAACCCACACTTCAAAAGCTTTGTGTGATGCAAAACAAATACTTAAGTACTTGCCACAGTTAAGTCTGATTCCTTCTTTACCAATATGTTCATAAAACATCATGTGTTGCATTGATGACATGCTGTTCTGTATGTAATGCAGTGAAGCAGCGTGTTTTTGTAGGTGGCTTTAGGCATGTGTTTGGAAGTTAGCCTTGCCAACATAACGTATTACTGACCGGTCAGCATGGTGATAAGTGGAAGGCTGTGCTCTTCAGGGCTTCCCCAGTATCCAGCTTCTCCCAGCATATTCCTTTCTAGTACCTGGTGGTACAGTTCTTCAACCCAGGCCTGGGAAAATACCATCAAAACTCCACTGGACTGGACCTGCTTCATGAATTCCTTCTGCAGAGAAACATAAAAACCAGATGTAAGACAACACTAAGCTCTATGGCATGACCCTCAGCCCGTAGATCTACTCCTGAGTGTAATGGCATGCAGCAGTAGAAATGAAATTATGCAAAAAGAAGATGTGTCTACAGTGTCTACAGTGGAGAAAGATGTGAATAAGAAGCTTTCCCTTCTCTTACCGCATTTCATGCAAGATATAAATCGCAGTGACAGTTCTTGCACGGTGACAATGGGATATGCTGAGCTCTCACTATTTTCACAAGGTAGGGGTAAGATCTCAGTTCCCATAAAAAGAAGTTATGGCACTTATTGTTGCCTGTCCAGCAATCAGGGCCTTCCGCACTGAACAATCATCACAGATGAACTGGGGTCCAGCTAGATAGCTGAACTATTTTCAAAGGTAACTAGGTCATGCTCAGGTCTGCTGTGCACAGTGCTGCCCCTAGAGAAGGTTCTAAGTCACAGATTTGCTGTTGCAGCTGCTGAAGAACACAGCAGAACCAATGATGACATTAAACCCCACTTGTTCTTGAGAACTTCCAGAAAATAAATCTTCAACTGGAAGCTCAGCAATAATGGAAAATTTTGACAGATTTTTTTTCTCTTTTTTTTTTTTTTTGTTGTTCCATATACCAACTTTTTTTTTTTATTATTTTTAGGAGAAATCTGAAACAACTTCTCTTGGACAACTTAGTTGTAAAACATAGATTCATGTTTTATAACTCCTGCAGCCCTGAAAACAATGTTTAGAAAGCCCAAGGAGCTGAGAAATACCAGGTGCCACAAAAACAATCAGGTCATATTAAAAAGTCCTAATTATTTTTCACTCTAACTTCTCATGTCTTCATCCACGTTGTTCTGGGTTCAGCAGTAGCAGTCATTTTTCTCCTTCTTAGTAGCTGGTGCAGTGCTGTGGTTTTGACTTTCAGCCTGGGAACAGCACTGATAACACTGATGTTTTCAGTTGCTGCTCAGTAATGTTTACTCTGACCAAGGAATTTGTGAGTCTTATGCTCTACCAGGGAGGAGGGGAACTCGGGAGGAAACAGAGACAGGACACCTGACCCAAACTGAACAAAGGGGTATTCCATACCATAGCACATCATGCCCAGTATATAAACTGGGGGCAGTTACCCAGAAGGCTAGATAACTGCTTGTGTTGGGCTGGGTATCAGTCAGTGGGTGGTGAGCAGTTGTATTCTCTTCCATTGTTATTTCCCTTATTGTTATTATTATTGGTGGTGGCAGCAGTGATTTGTGTTATACCTTAGTTACTGGACTGTTCTTATCCCAACCCATGGGAGTCATATTCTCCTCCCCATTCCCCCAGGAGCGGGGGGAGGAAGGGAAAGGAGGGGGAGTGAGTGAGCGGCTGCGTGGTTCTGAGTTATTGGATGGGCTTAAACCATGACACATGTAAATACACATCGAGTATTAAGCAACAAATTTGTCATTATGCTCAAAAGTAGTTGCCAGGTGAAAGTATGTCCTGTGATAATGTGCACAAACAATGCTTGCTGTATCACATGATGCTAATGAAGATCTGAAGACAGAATATCCATCAAAATGACTGCTACTTTAATAGCAACCAGTAAAGTAGCACTCATTTTCCCCTTCCTCTCCCCCATAATCCCCCATTATAGAGAAGCTGTGTAATTCAGATGCATGACATTTATCATTCAGGATTCATAAGCAGCTTGGAGAACACTTCATTGGAATTATTATTTCTCTGTTTAGCAAGATGTCTGAAGTCTTTCTGCATGGGCTGTTTTATGTGAAAAGAAGCAAAAGAAATTTGGGGATTTTTAACAGTTTTCCCATATTCTCCAACTCACCAGCAACACAGGGGCTTGGGCAGGTTTCTTTCTGTAGTAGTCAGAGTTGGCCAATTTTAGGTTGAGCAGCAGAGTGTAATGTGAGACCATGTAGAGACTGTCTGCATTCATCAGAGTCTGGAAGCTGAAATTTAGGTTTCCCTCAAATCCTGGTGAGTGCATCATACCTAACAAAAACACCATGTGAGCTCTCACATTTTACACAGATTTTGCCTGGAAAAAAGAAGATCAGAAACCAACCCTAGCATTTCAGCAGCAATAGATTGCTAGAACAGTTAATGAATCATCAGTAGAAATTACTAAATGCACTAGAACAGGGGATAGAAAAATAAGTAGTCCACCTAGAACACAGTGCTGCAAAAGGCAAACTGAACACTCCAGTCACAGTCCAGCAAAGCAACATGCTAAATCTGAATACACAAGGAGCACCAGCATTCATTAGGATGACTGACAGATACAAAGAAAAGGGCAAGATATATCTGCAATGCTAACTGGAAAGGTGAGGTGGGAACAAGCAGAGGCAAAGCCTGCAGTACTTAACTGAGCATACATTGCACCAAATGGTGCTAATGAGTGTGACAGCCCTTTCAACCCCCCTGTAAATCTGCCTTAGCTAAATGAGTTGTTGGATGGAGACTGGAGTGCTCAGCACCTTGCAGAATCAGGCTGTAATCGTCATTCTCTCCATGGCCTCTCCAGGTATGTGAATAAATATTTGGGGCCAAGCTGGCTGGAACTCATTACAACTCCAACCCGTTTAGTTCATACAAGACCTGCTTTCTAGATAGCTGAGCACTTGCAGCCCTGTCAGACAATAAGCCACCTGTAAGCACTCAGTATTCCTGAAAACACTATTTGTATGAAATGATAGCCTAGAACCATGCCCAGTGGTCCAATCCCTTCTTCCCAGGTAGGATGGACAGCGCATACATTTTCCTTTGAGTTAGCTGTAGAAAAACATAAATCAAGTATGAGCAATACCTAATTGAATTTCCATGATCTGTAGTTTGAGCCATGAAAACACCTAGAAATATTAGACCCCCCCACATGACCCACAATATTTCATGGGTTTCACATTGACTGTGAAACCCATTCATATAATGTCAATTAAGGAAGATTAAGGAATAAGCTTTATCCTAGAGGAACATTTGAAATGAAACAACAACGAAAGAAAAAAACAGCTTCCAACGTTAGTTACATGGTGAAGCAAAGCTGTGTCATTTGTTAGCTGCTGCAGTGGTTTACTGTGAATATATTCCTCCCACCATAAAGCTCATGTCTTGTCTTTAACAGAATACATCAAACCATTAACATTAAAAAAAAAGTAAATAAAAATCCAAACACAGAAAAGAAGCAAATGTTTTTCTTGCCTCGTGAGGGTTTGAAAGCTCTGTGCTGCTGCCTTCTCGGACTTTCCACTGTCGTCACTTTGGGGGCGTGGATAAGGTGAGTAACTGTTTGAGGGTGGATTTAGAAAGAGAGTAACTGTTCCAGGGTGGGTCTAAACAACGAATAGCTGTTCAAGGAGCAACCTTTGTGGAAGAGTGGTGATAGGGCTGGCCACAAACCATACCCAGATCGGCTGGTGTATGCTTGGGACAGATTTCTTATGGTGAATGTTGACAGAGAAACTTTACCTAGTTCCAAAACTGCAACTATGTGCTTGTAAGTAGCCTGTGAGTGGCTCCAGTGACTCCTCCACCACTGCAGGCAAAGATGCATATTAATACTTTGTTGGATGGAGGATCATGATACTGATGTAGCTAGAACTGATTTGATGTTTCAGCTCTCAAATATGTACCATGAGGACTAGAATCTCCTAGAGTAATAAAAACTTCAAGGCAGGGAGATACGTAAAAGAAAAAAAAAACAACAAAACAGCCCACTTTATTTTGCATTAAAATATTTTAAAATGTGTACAACCTCCTATCCAAGACTGCAACTAAAAAGGAAGGTGTACAACTGCACATTAAAGTGGCTACTGCGTAGTCGGTATGTATCTGAGCACCCAAAAGCATGTGGGGAAAAATACAGTGCCTAATTTCCTCTAACATATGGGACAATAAACAGCTACATTTAAGAGATGCTGAGATCTGAAAAGCAGATTAGATAATGTGTAAACTTGCAATGATGCTTACTAACATAAAAACCTTTCTGCTCAAAGCTATGGAATCAAAACTGAAAGGAGGTACTTAAAAATGTTTGTTATGATTATTTGCACAATGGCACACAGTTTTGAATTAATCTCTTGATGCTGCAGTTCATGAGAATAGTTATGTCTGAATTAAGAGAATACTGATTATATTCTATATCAATTATAAAAATCTGCCAGCTATAGTAAACAATGAGGTTAGCACACTGTCTTAACAGAGACAACAGTTCATTTAAATTGGCCAGGTAAAGGAGACTCTGAAGAAATGCAAACTTGATGCTTTGTGCAAGTCAAGTTAATGTTGAGACTTTTTAGAAAATACTGTATTTTTTGAGACAGACATCACACTCCAGTGTCACTAAGAATTTTTTTGGCATTGGTTTTATCTAGCAACAAGAAGGAACTTTTTGAGGAAAGATGAAAAATGTAGATTAGGAAGGCTTTTAATCAAGTGACTTCCAAATCTTAATTTCACTGCTTAGCTGACATCACTTTTCCCATGCTTATACTCCCATGCTAGTGCCTCAAAGTCCTACCTCCTTTCATCACGTTTCAATCCCGTGAAAATATAATCAAAATACTATTTAAGGACCTAATTTGTAGGAAAGGCTACTAAATTGTAGGTAATGTATTACCCCGCCCCAGATTGTAAGCAAATTTGAAAAATTAAACAAAGCAAGTTAAATAACGTTTCCCAGAAACACAAAAATACAGTTTCTGACTGCTCTCAGAACTGCACCTGTCTCTTTTCCCAACTCAGTCTCAACCAGTATTCAGATTTCCTAATGTATTCTTCAGGAATTATAGATGAATAGATGTTGTACATAAAATGAATATGACCAGTTCCTCTAACTTCATTCTCTAATTTATGCCTTGAACTGTTGGTGATAATAAAGGAGTCCCGAAGTAAGGACTCAGACGTTGCCTGTACCTGCAGATCAGACTGGTATTTGGAAACTCTCCAGGGGGAGCTCCTACCTCCACCAACTTAGCTACCGGTCTTCAGACTCGAGCTTCTCTCGCCTACACAGGAACACAAGCCCTTACCTTTTGCTTAATATCTGAGGTACAAATTAAAGGACTATTTCAGCTGGATTGAAACTTATTCCAGGTGTCCAGGTGAAACACGAACTACACAGACCTTGTGAGAACGTAAAATTACAACTCTAACAGCCACAGCTCTATTAAAACACCAGGACACCTCTTCCAAGTTATTTTAACACAGTAACATGCTACTGTATTTTTCCATGATTCCTTATGAAGTGACATCTCCCAGAAAATACTTCACCAAATCATACTGGAAACATTTTGAAGTACAGATTTAGTCACAGGGCTGGCTTTTTTAGGAAAGTGAAAGGTCTGTCTCAAGTCTAAGCACAAGACTAGGTATCTTTTTGAGATATATATATATGTATTTCTATATAAACCAGAAATTATTCACTTAATGCAGAAATTGAGTTACATTCTTTCACCTTTCTTACTGTATTAGTCATAGTGAGCGACAACAAAAGCCATGTTTAGTCTTAAGGTCTAGAAGTCTGCTAGGTCTACCTATTCCAACCCTTTATAACATTCCTTTAGAATGTTTTAGGATTTGACAAGCAACAGAGAAAAGAAGCAGTATACTTATTCATAGGTGAGGGAACAGGTGCACTAAAGTTTGAACTAGAGTTCTGTTTTTTTGTCATAACCTCAAGATTGATCTTTTTCAGGAAAAAGAAATCCCTTGTGGCAGAAAGGATGCTTTTGAGTACCTCAATTAGGAATGTAATGAATACGACTTCTTTAAGATCTCTCCTTTCTGTGATGTAAGATGGCCAGTGTTTCTTAAGAATGTTATCTACCATATTCCTGATTTATGGCTTATTTGGGCAGTATTTAGACAAGGTGTCAAGAATATTAGCTTATTTACTCAGCTTCATACCTAAATTATGCTGTAGGATGATGGGAGGCATCTTTTCTTACTCTCTATGAATTTAATGTGTGTGAGAGAGCACAAATGAATGAAGCAATGATTAGGAGAGGAGCAACAGGAAAGGCAATTGTGGTGAATTAAGTTAAAGAAACAGAAATACATTCTAATAAACATTTCCACTTTGGCCACTGTCAGGAAAAATAAACCATTCTAAATATATATACATGTGTGTATATATATATATATATACATGTACACACACACAGACTTATGCACATTTTATCAACAGGACAAATTAACCTTTGCATGGCATTTTTCTGTATGATTGACCAAATCAATATCCCAAAGGTTCTAACCCTGAAAGAACTGCAGGATTTTAATCTCTTAAAAGGTAAGATTTTTAATTACCTTTCACTTGGTCTAGACTTTGAGAGCTCTGCATTTCCTGTTACATTGAATAGCAGTATTAAGAAAAACAAAAGAGTGAAGAAGAGAGTTGTTCCTCTTTTCTTATCCTTTCAAGAGCTTACTGTTGTGGAATTTTTATTACTTTCTTTGCAAGGCTGGCATTACTAATATCAATACAGTGATGTACTAAGCTACTTAAACCTCTTTCAAAATAGGTGACGGCCCAGCCTCTCTTTAATGGCATCATGTGCAAATCTTCTTAACAGATCTTCGCAAACCTGTAAAGAGGTATCTTAATACAGAAAATTCCATTTTTCTGTTGACTGTGGACATAATCCAGAGCCTGTTAACAGTCAATGGACTGACCTCCCTTTGAATCAGTACCTGCATATTCCATTTGCTTTGCCCTAAATGAAGTGTGCTGCTGTGGAGGAACATGCTTTGTGGTGTACAAACCTCCTTATTCTGGATATATTCTCTGAAGATAAAATCCTACTGCGAACAGTGCTGTCACAGTGTGCATGCAGGTTAGACAGTAAATATTTGCTTGCAAACCTGAGCAGAATGTTGAAGAAAAGCTCTGAAGTGCTCCATCCACCTCCTCTATGCTGGGAAGAGATATAAGCCGAGGAAGAAGAGCTTCAAGTGACTGGATAAATAGCTGTGCACTGTGCTGGTCTGCTTCTTGGTTTTTCAGCAACTTCAGAGACAGAGCAGCAGTACGTAGGGACCTGTGCCCTGGACAATCTCGTGGTGTCTGCTCCTCATCAGCCAGGGAGCAATTGTCAGAGCCTATGTCTGAGACATCTGACCTGCCCGAGTCCTTCTCTGCTGCCATGGAATACTGATCACATGAATCAAATTCAGTCCTAGAAAGGTCTTGGTCATCTACACTGAAGTTACTTTCACTGTATCTGGATCCATATGACCGGGTCTTGGAATCAACTGATAAGAAGTTAGTTATATCTGGATAGACTATGGTGTGGCTTCTCTGAACAACATCTGGCTGGTCAATGGTTTCTGATTCTGGTTCTCTATAATGAATCTCTCTGCTTTCACGTGCAGCTGGAGATGGTAGTGAGTTTTTTTGACTTCCTGGATTATCCTCTGGAGTTGTCTGTCCCATATCCCCTTCCAAAGTGGTCTGACCAGTGTCTGTGGTAACACTAATGCTAATATCAGGACTTTTCTCATTTGCTGATTCCCAGGCAGGATTTTCTGAGGACAGGATGCGCCTCTGCCACCTGAAGTCAGCATCATTGATCTCCATGGAGTCCCTGCTTGTCTCGGTCCCATCCTTCAGTTCTTCTAAGCGTCGAAGCAGCAGCTGGATCTGCTCTTCACTAAGACCCCTCCCTTGGCTCAGCTCATCTAATGCTCCAAGCAGGGCAAAGACACAGGACACTGAAGCATAACATGCTTCAATACCACCTTTGATGCATGCTTCTGTCATCCCATCCATGATACTACAATTAAACAGAGTTTATTTCAGTGATACAGCACATGTAGTGAACACATCACTATCATCCAACACCATCCCTCCATAACCATAACCAGGGAAAAAAAAGAAGCAAAATTATCCTGTAAGACACTCCTGAGGAAGACAACTAGCACTAAAATGAATTATTAAGTCTCCCAGGTGGACACAGCCATTCTGTAAAGGGAGTGCCAACCAGGGAAACAGTTACCGTGCATTTTATCAGTGTGCACAGAATGTTTTCCCTTGCAGACAATCACTTACACTGAAAAAAAACCCTTCAACACCTAGCTGAAGCTAAATTTAAATCTGTGTCCTGAAAATTATTTTACTACAAAATACGATCTAAAGATCAGAACTGAGAATCCTTCTGCTCAACCTGACAATGCTTAAATTGTCATTGCAAAGTTAGGGACCCAAACCTAAGAATGTCCAACTGTAAACGAACATATTTGGATATTTTGCCAAACTCTAGAAGGTAGTTATCTACCTATCTATCTTACAAATAGGCCCAGACTGACAACAAACCCTTCTTCCATTTTCAGAGCTTATTTAAACCAGGGAGATTATCCTGGCTCATATTTTGGCATGCTTCTGAAGATACAACTGTGTAAGTGTCCTGTGTGCATAGGTTTAAGAGAGAAGAGGCTAAAGGAGGAAACAAAGCATACAGCTTGAGAAGATCCAGATGGGACTTCCTTTTAGAAATAGACCTCTTCCTGGATTCTGACTCAGAAGAGCAGGGCCCTGCTAAATCACAAAGTTGCCGAGGACTGCCAAGTATCTGAAAAGAAAGGGAACAGAAGTTACTAGAGGATTATCTAAGCATTATTTAAATACAATAAACGAGTCATAGTTCTATCAAGCCCTGGATCCCAAGGTAGCAGTACTGTAACTTCTCACAGCAAAGGAAAACAGCACACTGATGTTCTCCTTCTGAAACCTACCTTTCCTCTCTTTATAGGCAGAAAAGCAGATAGAGAAGAGCAGAATATTCAACAAGAATCACACGTAGAATGTTCTCCAGTGCTTTACATTTTTGACTAAATGTATTTCGATTGATACTGCACAAGGCAATTTTTATGTCTAAATATAAAGCAAGTATCTTGCATTGTACTATATACCAAAGGCAGCCTTTTCCTTCAGTCACTCAGTCACAAAATTATGGAATCCTGCAGTGATTCCTTCTGACTCAACCTGCTGAGTGGCATCCTGGTAATGCCCACCTGGAAATACAAGAAGGCTTTACCAACAAGCTCATATTAACGAGCAGAAAGAGGCAACAGGTATGTCCTTCAGGAAACAGCATTAGACTGAGCTTTTCCTAAAACTTCATTTTTCATCTTGCTATCATTTAAAATTAGAGGATGACATGTGCCAGGTTGACTGACAGTTCAGATAACAACCCAGTGGGTGGCTGTGTGGTGTTAGGAGAGATCTTCAGACTCAGACCAGCCTTGGTATGCACAAGCTAGAACTAAAATCATGTAAGAGACCACTGTTCCTCCAAATTATGTAAGCTGCCTTCTGTTTCACACCATGAGAAGAAAGCTGCACATGTGAAATAGAAGCAGCCGTGATTTCAGCTGCTGCTCGAAGTCTCACAATGCTCCAGTTGTAGTGCTGTCAGAGGCAGTCGGCAGGAGACCAGAAGAGGTCTTGATACTGCTGCTTAAGACATTGGCAGCTCCTTGTGGTTATTCTAGTAAAGCTCAAGGAAACCATACTTCAAAAACCTGGCATGTAATCAAAGCACATATTCACCTCAGTGCCTGGAATACTACACTGTGAGGATGAATGTCTCCTTCTAGCGACAGCAGAGAGTGAGGAAAGATGCCAACAAAGTTGAGAACTGGTTCACTATATTGTATCTCACCCAAAAGAGCAGTCTAGACTCAATTATAAGATATGCTCCATGCAGTACCACAACACGAACACTGACAGAGTTGCCACAGCAGCTTGCATTATGGAGACAAATATAGCTATTATGGCTTTGCCCATCAGAAGGGCTTTGATGTAACAGCTTTGCTCAGAAAAGGCGATTTCAACATCCCTAGTGCTAAAGTATGGAATAGGCTGGTATGCACACATCAGCAACATTTACTATTAAATAAACATTTTGCTTTATATGTCTGGATTTTAATGTGTGATTATCCTACCTCTTTCATAATTTTGATGGCTTCTACTCGGTGCTGAGGTGGTGGGTAAAGCAATATCCGGTGATAGAGAGACTGCAGCACAGGCTTCATGGATTCCACTGATCCCACCAGTCGAACCAGTTCTGCTGCAATATAATATATGGTTCGTGCAACAGGCCCACTAAGGGCAGGTGCTGTGGAGGAACAACCTGAACCCCGTCCATGATCAGAGATCCCCGAGGAAGTAGAATCAGCCTCAAGGCAGATGCTGCTGTGGGCAGAGGTGATCGTTTTGTCATGGATAGGATTTCCCAGGATTACTACTAGGGCTGGGCACAGTTGCTTCCTGAGAAAGAGAAAAGCAGCAGATGGTAACTGGAAAGAAATAATCTCATAGGAACAGATTGAAAATAGCCCATGGTTAAACGAGATACACACTCTTGTTTTAATGATCAGTCAGCAGCAGTGGTTAGATAGAATAACAAATTATGCCAGGCTTTTTTTCACCTCCTAAGCACCAGAATGCTAGTACATATGGAAATATTTTTGGGTGCTTTATAAACATTGTACTGATTTTGCAAATTCATGGTGCTGCACAGCACTCATTTACAGGGTATCATGGCTACCTCTTTCCTTTCTGCAACCTATCACAAGATAGAAATGCTAGTTTACATTGCTAAGTGTTTCTTCTTCAGTCCACCTTGCAATCTTAAAAGAAACCCCAAACCAGTCTGCGTTAACTAGAAGGCCTGATGTTCCAACTCTGAACTGAACATGCATGTAATTTTAGTAAGCACCCTCTCCGTTCTGCTGGCTTTTGAGAACATAAAGATCTCTACAGTAATTCAAAGCACTGCAACTTCTCATCAGCCACTATACACTAAAAACACTGTTCTTCCTTCAATGTCCTTCTGCATGAACACTCGAGTTTAGTGATTCCATACCAGCAGATCACTCTTCTTGTGGAACCAGAGCCAAAACCAGCTCAGCATTTTGCTCCATTAGCTGTTCAGCTTTGCACTCACACACTTGACATTTTACTTCAATCTACAAGACCCTAATTAAAAAAGCAAAGTGCTGCATGAAAATGCAGTCCCAAACCTGATTTTCACCCACATGCCTCAGACGTACAAGTTGGTGGCTAGAGCAAGTATCCAATGAGAAGTAATGATGCAACATAAAAAGTAACATATCTTCATAGCTAAATAAATCTTATTTTCTCAAGATTTTTATGCAGTACGGAACTTTCATTGTTTCTCTTAATGTGTTTGCTGGAACAGCTTGGCTTACTGAAGTCACAGAAGGAAACACAGCTTTTAATCAGACACCAGATAATGATAACTTTGAGTCTGCTTATTTCTTTCTCCCATTGGGTACACTTCAGAACATATCAATCCACTGTAAGAAATGTGGCTCCCTCAAAGCAGGTGTAATCACTGGTTACAACATCAACATTCCCCACACGTTCGTCCCACTGAAGTGCTTCTGTAATAAACTATAGAGAACACTGTCAAGAGAACAGAGCTTAATCTTCCTTTCTGCTTCCTTCTTTATCTTCTATTGAGAACTGACTACAAAGTGCCAGCCAGAAAGTTGTATGCATGAAGGTAACACCTCCTTAAAGAACAAAAACAGTTATCAGTCTGATTCACAGCTTCACTAGACAGCTAATGGATTACTGTGTAGTTATACTTCCTTGTATTCAAAAAGATGCCTGCAGTTTACACTGTTTCAAGTCTTCCTAATACCTTTTTTTCCCCCACTTCATTTTAAGCGTGTAGTTGGAGGATGCATATTCCTTAATAGATTAGTAAGTCCTGCCCCTGTTAGCTTGCCTTCATGATACATAGTTACAGATATAAACAACTGTAGATTTGCAGCATACAGTGGATCATCAAAATGATGTAAATTTAAAACAAAACAGGAAGTGTTTTCTTTTAATAAAGTTTATTTCAGTGAGCTTGCTTATGGAATAGCCCCACAGTCAAGACACATATGCATAGTCAAACGGCTGGGTGATATTCAAGGGCAGAATCTTATGAAATTATCACTGCCCATCATATTTGAAAAATCATGGCAGTCAGGTGAAGTTCCTGATGACTGGAAAAAGGGAAATATAACCCCCATTTTCAAGAAGGGGAAAATGGATGACCTGGGGAATTACAGACTCACCTCTGTGCCTGGCAAAATCTTGGAGCAGATTCTCCTGGAAGGCATGCTAAGGCACATGAAAAACAACAAGGTGCTTGGTGACAGTCAGCAAGGCTTTGCTGAAGGGAAATCCTGCCTGACCAATTTGGTGGCTTCTGTGATGGGGCTACGGAACTGATGGACATGGGTAGAGCAGTTGATGTCATCTACCTGGACTTGTGCAAAGTGTTTGACACTGTCCCACAAGACATCCTTGTCTCTAAATTGGAGAGACATCAGTTTGATAGGTGGATCACTCGGTGGATAAAGAACTGGCTGGATGGCTGCATGGAAAGAGTTGTGGTCAATGGCTCAATGTCCAGCTAGAGACCAGTAATGAGTGGTGTCCCTCAGGGATCGATGTTGGGACCGGTCTTGTTTAACATCTTTGTAGGTGACATGGACAGTGGGATTTAGTGCGCCCTCAGCAAGTTTGCCGATGACACCAAGCTGTGTGGTTCAGTTGATAAGCTGGAGGGAAGGAATGCCATCCAGAGGGACCTTCACATGCTTGTAAGGTGGGCTGATGCCAACCTTATGAAGTTTAACCATGACAAGTGCAAGGTCCTACACCTGGGTCAGAGCAATCCCAGGCACAGCTACAGGTTGGGCAGAGATGAGATTCAGAGCAGCCCTGTGAAAAAGGACTTGGGGATATTGGTCGATGAGAAAATGAACACGAGCCAGCTGCAGTGTGCGCTTGCAGCCCAGAAAGCCAACTGTATCCTGGGCTGCATCAAAAGGAGCGTGACCAGCAGGTCAAAGGAAGTGATCCTGCCCCTCTACTCTGCTCTCGTGAGACCTCACCTGGAGTATTGTGTACAGTTCTGGTGTCCTCAACATAAAAAGGACATGAACTGTTGGAACAAGTCCAGAGAAGGGCCACGAGGATGATCAGGGGACTGGAGCACCTCCCATATGAAGATAGGCTGAGGAAGTGGGGGCTGTTCAGCCTGGAGAAGAGAAGGCTGAGTGGAGACCTCACAGCAGCCTTCCAGTACTGAGGTGGGACTCTTCATTAGGGACTGTAGTGATACGACAAGGGGTAACGGATTAAAACTTAAACAGGGAAAGTTTAGATTGGATATAAGGCAGTAACTCTTTCCTGTGAGGGTGGTGAGGCACTGGAATGGGTTGCCCAAGGAAGTTGTGAATGCTCCATCCCTGGCGGTATTCAAGGCCAGACTGGACAGAGCCTTGGGTGGCATGGCTTAGTGGGAGGTGTCCCTGCCCATGGCAGAGGGGTTGGAACTTGATGATCTTTAGGTCCTTTCCAATCCTAACTATTCTATGATTTTATGACTCTATGAAATGAGTTTGCAATGAAAGAGAGAATTCTGCTTTTACATCAGTTCCTTCCAGGGGCCTCAGTACAGGGTCCCTGTGCAACACTGCCAGCTGTTACCAACCTGAAAACTTTCTAAGTCTAGCAGCCACTGATTTTCCTGACAGCAAGGGAAGTTACAGGTGCCTCTACATGCTGCATACTTTAAACTGAGCCCAAGTCAAATACTTCCATTTCAAAAATTACAGGATAAAAGCAAAAGAAACACATTTGCCATTATCTGTCACATTTTACTTAACATAATCACCTGCCAGGGTCACAGGATGGCCATGGACTACAAGGAACTGCAGATTAGTTACATTCTTGCTTTATTACTATTCCTTAGTTATTTATATGCTATCAAAAAAAGCACTACTGCAAACAAAAAGAGGGACAAGGATTATTTCAGATGCTTTGAGGTGATGGTATCAAACAATTCAGAGGTAGATATGAACACTAAAGACATCAGGCCTTTCTGATGAAGGGTATTGGAAAAAGAATTTCTTGATAAAGTGAAAGTACTAGGAAGACTGTTTTGCCCCAGCCCTTACACGATGCAGGTTATAAACATTTCTGGTCACCAGCACACCATCTAGCATTAATTTTGCTTATCTTCCTGTATTACTGCATTGGACTAGTAAGAATCTCTACAGCACCCTTCTACAGTAAACAGGATACATATGTGTTTAATGCCACACACAAATCCAAACTATTACAGAAAGCATAAGAGGTTTTATGTTTTGGCTAAATAAATTAGACTTTGTTACAGTGATAATTCATACAGGGATTTAATGTGCTAGCTGAGCATGAGGTTCTAACCAGTCTTATACGAGGCACAGGACAAACTGATAGTTGATTAACAGCAAGGTCTGCTCACATCTGGAGATTTATTACAAGTTTGTATGGCTGGGGAAGAAGGTCCTTTTATACTTACCAGCTGAGTATTTGCATTAGTCTTCAGATGTACTCACCATATTAGATCAGTGAATCCTTTGTGCTGGTGCATGCTGGGAGAGGAGCTGTTTAACATGGAGAGGATGCACTCCAAGTAAAGAAGCTGAAGTTGCCGATTGTCACTGGCAAAGAGAAAAGATGCCATTCATGTCACATTTAAGCACAGATTATTTAATTTTCTAAAATAACCACATTAGTTCACTTGAAAATTATACCACAGTCTACAGTAGTGATTTAATTTGCTTCTTTCCTATAGATTCTGGTGTGATCACCTTTATCATCCTATTTATGTTGTGCTGACCACATGCATTGGTCCGCTACTTAACAGAAGTAAAATCTATGTGAAAAGAAATGAAAAAGAAAGCAAAAATAATTATTCAAATTCAACCTAAAAACTTGAGGTGAAAGGAACCCTTAAACAGAGGAAAAGGAGACAACTGGAAGATTTTGGACTATTGGGTAGTTTCTTCAGGCAATCTGAAGGGCATTTAGGCTTCTGTCTTCTGGTTATTTTTTCTCTTTTCTTGGTGACAGTCACATAGTCAAAAGTCAGTGTCTACAGGCAGAAAGTCACAGGATGACATGGTTATCTTTCAGGGCATTGCCAGTTACTCTGTCAAAACCATCTACACAAAGTGAGCTTCATGACAAAGACACAAAGATCCTGCGGACACCAGGAATTGCCACACTTTACATACAATATGCTTGTACCTACTCTTAGAACTAGCCGTGGGATTCAGGAGACAAGCAAGGCTGACATCTGCCTTATGAAAGGATTCCCCCATGCCTATTGCATTCACATACTGGTTTTCACTCCTAAAAATACTAGGATTTAAAATCACTGTTTCTTTGGTCTGAGATGAGAGTTAGAGGAATGTATTTTCTGATATATGATGGTAGGTGAAGGAAGATGTAAAGAATGGATTTATCTTAACTGAAATTAAGGAATGAGAAATGTCTGCTCTTCAGTCACTGCCTGAATTCCTTTTGTTCACATAGCCGAACATGCACCGAAGCAGAACAGTACCTGTTCCACATGTCATGCAGAAAACAGTGAATCCCGAGGCTTGAAGCTAGATTTCCAACTCTACACTATACAGGGTTTAAAACTGCTGGCTGGTTATATATTTTAGAGGTGACTGCTTTTTCCTCACAACATTCCACACCTATTTGGAAAGATGCACACACTCCATGTACAATTGCCTTTTCTCCTCATAGCTTCTATTGCAATGCGTCTTCATGCAGATCAACATATTGCTGTTGTTACTTGCATGGGCATGCACAGGGTATTGCTGTACTCTTGACAGCACTGATGCCTCTTACTACCAAATTGTTTTCTTGCATGTAAGAAATGAATACTGGACTACTGCACACTTTGGCATAGCTGGTGTGTTCATATCACTGCTGCCACAAAGTCATTAAAGTCACCAGTGATCTCAAGGAAAAAAAATAAATCACCCCCTTGAACTCTTCCTCATCACTCACAGCTGTGCCTCCCTCAAAACCAAATTGCAATAGGTTTTAAATTTAGAAGGAAGACTTAAAGTAATCTTCAGACTAAGAGATTAGAACAGGCAGTATAACATACTAAACCCTCTCTTCAATGACCTGGAGGTTCGAAAGTTAAGGTGCTGGCAACAAAATGTTTTGAAGGAGATACCAAAACTGGCTTTGAAAGAAATAAAGGCTTTTCATTCATGGAGGTAGTTCTTTAATAAGCCATCCTAATTGGATTTATTTTCCTCAGATTCAGTCAGAATTCTTTACTATGCTTGTGAGGTGGGCTGATGCCAACCTCATGAAGTTTAACCATGACAAGTGCAAGGTCCTACACCTGGGTTGGAGCAATCACAGGCACAGCAACAGGTTGGGCAAAGAAGGGATTCAGAGCAGTCCTGTGGAGAAGGACTTGGGGGTGCTGGTCACAGTATCACAGAATCCCAAGGGTTTGAAGGGACCTCAAAAGATCATCTAGTCCAACCCCCCTGCAAGAGCAGGGTAACCTAGAGTACATCACACAGGAACTTGTCCAGGCAGGCCTTGAATATCTCCAACTTAGGAGACTCCACAAACCCCCTGGGCAACCTGTCCAGTGCTCTGTCACTCTCACAGTAAAGAAGTTTGTCCTGGTGTTCACATGGAACCTCCTATGCTCCAGTTTACACCCATTGCCCCTTGTCGTATCACTGGACATCACTGAAAAAAAAAACCTAGCTCCATCATCCTGACACTCACCCTTTGCATATTTGTAAACATTTATGAGGTCACCCCTCAGTCTCCTCCAAGCTGAAGAGACCCAGCTACTTCAGCCTCTCCTCATAAGGGAGATGTTCCACTCCTTTAATCATCTTTGTGGCTCTGTGCTGGACTCTTAAGCAATTCCCTGTCCTTCTTGAACTGAGGGGCCCAGAACTGGACACAATATTCCAGATGCGGCCTCACCAAGGCAGATTAGAGGGGGAGGAGAACCTCTCTTGACCTACTTAGCACACCCTTTCCAATACACCCTAGGATGCCATTGGCCTTCTTGGCCACAAAGGCACATTGCTGGCTCATGGTCATCCTCCTATCCACCAGCACCCCCAGGTCCCTTTCCCCTTCACTACTTTCCAGCAGGTCAACCCCCAACCTGTACTGGTACATGGGGTTGTTCTTCCCCAGATGCAAGACTCTACACTTGCCCTTGTTGAATTTCATCAAGTTTCTCCCCGCCCAACTCTCCAGCCTGTCCAGGTCTCGCTGAATGGCAGCACAGCCTTCTGGTGTGTCAGCCACTCCTCCCAGTTTAGTGTCATCAGCAAACTTGCTGAGGGTACACTCAGTTCCCTCATCCAGGTCGTTGATGAAAATATTAAACAGCACTGGTCCCAGCACCGACCCCTGAGGCACTCCACTAGTCACAGACCTCCAGCTAGATTCTGCCCATTGACCACAACTCTCTGCCTTCTTCCCTTCAACCAGCTCTTGATCCACCTCACTACCTGATCATCAAGCCCACACTTCCTTAGCTTATCTATGAGGATGCTGTGGGAGACAGTATCAAATGCCCTACTGAAATCAAGAAAAACCACATCTACTGCTCTACCATCATCCATCCACCTAGTTACTTCCTCATAGAAGGCTATAAGGTTGGTCAAACATGACTTCCCCTTGGTAAAACCATGTTGGCTGCTCTTAATGACCCCCTCATCCTTGATATGTCTAGAGATGGTGTCAAGAATAAGTTGTTCCATCACCTTTCCAGGGATGGAGGTAAGGTTGACCGGTCTATAATTACTGGGGTCCTCCTTCTTGCCCTTCTTGTAGACTGGCATGACATTTACCATCCTCCAATCCTCAGGCACCTCTCCTGTTTCCCACGACTTGCCAAAGATGATGCAGAGTGGCCGAGCAATGACCTCCGCCAGCTCCCTCAGCACCCGCGGGTGTGTTCCATCCGGACCCGTCGATTTATATATGTCCAGATTGCATAGCTGATCCCTAACCCAATCCTCATCTACCAAAGCAAACTCCTCCTTTGTCCTGACTCCTTCTGGGGTCGATGAGAAAATGAACATGAGCCAGCTGCAGTGTGCAATCACAGCCCAGAAAGCCAACCGTATCGTGGGCTGCATCAAAAGGAGCGTGACCAGCAGGTTGAAGGAGGTGATCCTGCCCCTCTACTCTGCTCTCGTGACACCTCACTTGGACTATTGTGTGCAGTTCTGGTGTCCTCAACATAAAAAGGACATGGATCTGTTGGAACAAGTCCACAGGAGGGCCATGAGGATGATCAGGGGACTGGAGCACCTCCCATATGAAGACAGCTGAGGAAGTTGGGGCTGTTCAGCCTGGGGAAGAGAAGGCTGAGTGGAGACCTCACAGAAGCCTTCCAGTATCTGAAGGGGGCCTACAGGGATGCTGGGGAGGGACTCTTCATTAGGGACTGTAGTGACAGAACAAGGGGTAACAGGTTAAAACTTAAACAGGGAAAGTTTAGATTGGATATAAGGAGGAAATTCTTTCCTGTAAGTGTGGTGAGGCACTGGAATAGGTTGCCCAGGGAGTTTGTGAATGCTCCATCCCTGGCAGTGTTCAAGGGCGGGTTGGACAAGGCCTTGGGTGAGATGGTTTAGTGTGAGGTGTCCCTGCCCATGACAGGGGAGTTGGAACTAGATGATCTTAAGGTTCTTTCCAACCCTAAGTATTCTATGATTCTATGCTTTGCTCATAATTATAGATCCTAACAGTCTAGGTACATACTTACAAGCATGCAGTAAATCATGACTCTGTGAGTACTTTTAAGTCCTCTGAATTCTGCATTGTACTTTATCTACAGTGTGCCTCAGTCTGTTCTAATTCAGTACAGTTTTATGAAGACGTGGGATTGCAAATATTTTTTAAAAGATTTATAGTGATTTTGTCAGGTAGTTTTGATATTTCATAATCAGTCATCATTTGGTGGACAATACCTATCAGGTGATAGCTGTATATAGCATCACCTGTGGGCAGTATTTGATACAAAGAATTAATCTTTCAGCTGGTTTGGCCACTTGCTATTGTTAGTACACACTTTTGAAGATTTCTTATTGTCCTGTAATTAGGCATACAACTAAAAAAAAATATAAATGTTCCTTCAGGAGATTCAGAAACATGCTTTTGTTTTACCAAATGCTGACACTGATTAAATAATGCTAAGTAAGGCACCCTTCCCCTTCAAATCTTCTTGTAATTAGAGACACCCATGGGAGGAAAGTCTATAGAACTGCACAAAAAGATGTCTGCTGTCTTTGGCTCTGGTAGTTCCTAAGCCATACGGTTCCTGAAAATGGTAGAATATATAAAAGGAAGTACTGATACATGCTTGTTTTGTGTATCTCCCATTTTCCTGAATTCATCACAGGCAATTTTCAAAGAGACAACATCATGGTATGTTTCAAAAAAACAGTTTCAGGTCATTTTTTTGCTAACACTCAGGTGATTTGCAATTGGCAGTGGTAGCAAGTTAAACTGTATTTTAGTGATACAGAAACAATGTTGTCAAGTGAGAACTTGTTTTTCCCTTAAAACTTTCAAATTATTTTTAGCTTGTTATATTTCTGTTTTTTTTTAATAACTGCTGTATAATGTTTGCATTGCCTTTAGTAGGGTTTTCACCTCTAGCACTTACGGCTTTTTTATCTTATTTCTTAATGGACCATTACTCAAGCTATGCTAGAATGCCACAGAAAGTAATTTTTAACTCGTAAGTATTTACTTCTACAGTACTAGCCAACAAGAGACTCAGTGTCTCTCAGCCCTATTACTGCCCATAATAACCGCATTTTAAAAGTTAGGCTCATGCATTTCCAAGTAGGTAGAGTATATGATATTTCTAAATTTAAGGAACCCTTTGGTAATGCAAATTATTTCAATTGGATGAATGCCACCTTTCTAAGGAGGACATATTAATTCATTCTGCATGTTATTTCTCTCAGGGTTTTCCATGCCTCTTGTGATTGCTCTCCCTACAACGGTTGCTTTCAAGGCAGAAAAGAAATGGAAGTTACATATGGATTAGATTTACTGGAAGGCCTTTAAAGCTGAACAGTGCATAAAGAAGGCAAATTAGCTTCTCATCTCAAGTGAGGGTTAAATTAATGCATGTTGAACAATACTTCCTTTAATAAACACTCTTAGTTTGAGCAGAGTTTTGCTCCATAATTCCAGAACTACAATAGTACAATCACAGGTATCAGTGAAACTCCCAATCTCCAGGTAATAAATTCAAATTATAAACTGAAATAACTCACTTTATGACAGCCTGGAGCTTCTCACAGAGCACAGTGAGGACAGATACAACATCATCACAAAGAGACTCAGCTGAAGTACCTCCAAAAAGGACAAAGATCAGAAGCATTACATATGTGCAGCTGGATTACAACCTCAATTTACTGCATGGATTTTCAGAGCTGGTTAGAGCTTCTAAACAATGAGCAGGGCTGCCAAAATTCATACAGAAGATGCAGTAGGAAAAAGTCCTAGATTGGAAAGTGATTTGCACACAATGAAAAAGCAGTAGTATTAAATCCACAGAGCATTGATTGCTTACGTGCATTTACAGGAGGTTAGCTGAAATCTAATTCAGATAATACAATAATGACACAAATAAATAATAAGAAAAGGACTGGCTGCAGTAATACTACATGGCAGCTAAAATTTCTGTATCTCTCCCTGCAGTTTGTCTCTGCTACACAGCTCTTCATGTATGATCAGGTTCTGATCTTAAAAGAGGATGCTTATGCACCTCAGTGATTTTAGCCTCCATTCACAAAAGTTCTCCTACATAAATCCAGTGAGAAAGTCAAAAGCAGGCATTATTTTTACCTATCAGGGAAGAGGCTGGAAGTTAAGACAGAATGAGAGCAGAAGAAAATTCTCTTGTAAAATAATCATTTGACAAGTGTGAACAGACCTTCACTAGCGATGTGCTTACAAAAGTCACCATTATATAAACTGCATCTCTGGCCTGAGATATAACACAATCATTTCCAGATTCCACATCCAACTCCATGGAACTGTTTCAATTTAGAAAGTAAAGCCACTTACTAAAACTTTCTCTAGAGCACTCCAACTCCTTAAATACATAAGTTAGAAACTTCAAACAATCATTTATTAATGTCGAGTGTGATGCTGTTACCATGCTCCAAATGAAGACATGAGTGAAAGTTTCAGGAGCTAACATGGCTGTCTCAGTTCTTACTGGTAGCAGAGTGCACAAAGCTATGGAGAAAGTAAGATATCCTGAAGATGCAATTCCTGTGACATCAGGAACTGTGCTGATGAATGAAAGCAAAGAATAAAACAGCTGGATTGGAAAGAATCACTAAAAAGTGTTACAAATACCTTGACTCTTGAATTTCTGCAAGGTGTCATGGTTTTCAATTGTCTGTTGAGGAAAGACAAAAGTGGCTTAATTGGTGCAAGTGGGACAAAAATACTGCAGAAGCAGCACTTTAACAGCAGAGCTTTCTTAACAAATCAATGCCTTCTGTCTGCTTTGGGTTTCTTTGTTTGTTAGAGGGTTGTGTTTTTTTTAGGTGAAGCTTTTGCAAAACATTTTCAAAGATTTCGTAAGATCTGTTTTAACAGTATTTTAGATTTAAGGAACTCTCATCTCATTCGGCTGATTTGTATGTACTTAAGGGATTTCCGACACCTAAACCAACTCAGTAATAACTAGGCATGTAAACTGCATTTTAAATGAGAGGCAACCATAATCTAGATTTCACAGAGTACTTAGAAACCAAAATCAATTGAGTGTTAGAGGGTTTATCACATTGTCATCATTAATGTTACAGTGCCAACACAATTAATGGCAGTGAGGAAATGGAAACGACCTCTTGCATCATTCAGTTCAGCTGCAGTATAGGATTTTCCTATCACTGCACAAAGAGATCAAGCCAAATTCTTCTCTCAAGCATCAACAACAAACTGCCAGGAGCTAAACGCAGCTCTCATATACTTTCACCTACTGCTCCGCTGAGAGCAGAACTAACAAAAACCCCACTTTCAGACTCAAACTACTGGGGGTGTTTCCTTTTTAGTGTTTTTTTGGGTTTTTTGTTTTTTTTTTTTTTTTGTTTGTCTGTTTGTTTGTAAATGTTTTGGCTATTAAAATGAACCTACTTAACACAGACAGAAGAGAAATTTAAGTAAACCAATTAATTCTGTTTTGCAGTTACTCATGAGGGAAAGTAACCTAGTCTACTAATCCAAACCAGAAGTGATCATCTTAATCCAATACAGATGTAAGGAAAATAATCAAACAACTGAAAAAACCCTAGCAATCTGTACAACTACAGTGCTTAAAATTTCCTAAGAAATATAAACTGACTTTAAAAAATAGTATGTTATTGATAATATGATAATATACAAACCAGCATAAATGGATTAAAGAAGTCTCTTTCCTTAACTGAGAATGTATTTTGTTTAGGCAAATTGTCATGCAAAATCTTTTGGCAAAAGAATTTCAACAAACCATAGGAAAACAAGCAAACAAAATAAAAGAATGTAAAAGGCAAGGGCGAAGGCAGGCTGATATCAGAACAAAGCCTTTTTTGTTTAATGGAAGAGGGAAAAAATAAAAACATCTGCCAAGTAGAGCTGACAATGTGAGAGGTGCCTTTCCAATAGACTGCTCTGAGGCAGGCACAGAGTCAGAGCCCCCAAAAGCTTTTAAACAGGGTTAATGTGGAAATGTCAAATAAAAGCCATAAGGCACAACAAGCCAGTACAATACACTGCACTCAAAAAAAACAAAACGACATGCAGCCATGGACATGGAACCATTTGTTGATGCCAGAAGGCTCACCATGTTTTCTTGCTTTTGTCGCAACTGTAAAGTCAAGTCACTCAACATTTGGCTGAGGGTTGCCCGCACAGCAGTGTTAATGCTTCGCTGGTGACAGCTAGATACATATGTCTCAATACAAACCTGATGAGGAAACAAGATAGCAGCACATAGATATGAACTGTAAGTTACCAGGAACACATTTGAGGAGGATACCAAGGTCTCTCTCATGCAGATAGTCAGCCTTCCTTACTATTTCATATTGTCTTATTAGCACATCAGAAGTTTTCAGCAATATAGAAAACTAAGTAGCATCTAGAAGCAGGAATGGTAGGGCAAAAATGGCAATGCCTAGGGTTCTGTCCAACCCATGTGATTATTACATGCTGAAGCACATTGGAAAGCTTTTGAAGGCCTTTCCTAATACAGAAAATACAACAGTGCTTTACCATACATAACACAAATGATTGCCTTTTAATAACTGGCAATCAAGCTGAGGGCTCCTCAGCTCAGGGATCCCATGGAAGCCAAAGTAGCAATGAAATCATGGATCATCCAGTTCCTATCTCCATGCTCAGCTGCTTGACATTGTGCTGTCACCAGAGTTGTGCCAGACTTCTGCCCCAGCTGACATTATACAAATAGTTGCCAAAACATAACACAGGTAGGACCCTGGGGACAGAACACTGCCAACTGTAGTTCCTGTCCTTTATCAGATTTTTTCTGTGGGAGGTGTTGGTCTCTATAAGAGCTGCTGTAACTGTAGTAACCACTGTAACTACTGCACAGTAACTACTAAGTGGATAAGTCTTGATGGAGCTGAGTAGATTTGTGACAGAATTGTACAATACAATCTCCTACGACTGTGAACCAAACATGCAGCTTTGGTCCTCTGGCCTATACTGAGCTTTATCATTAATAATTACCAGGATGAAAAAAGTGTAAATGACTGTTCACAGACTTTTCAGTCTTTGTATTTTAATTCTGCCATTGTTTGGATATACAGCTAGTGAGAATAACCATTAATACAGATTAAACTAGCTGTGAAAAATATATTTGAAAATACATATAGTATAAATTATATACATGATGAGTAGACATAAATGCATCTGTTGTAAGCTTTTAAATTAGAAAGATATTACATGATGTAAAGCCATTTTTATAGTTCCGTAATGAGGATGAGATTTTAAGAGGGAAAAATTAAAGTGATCTGATTACATAGGCTAATTAGAATTGACATAAGCACATGGACAAAGACTCTCAATTGTTTCTAACTCCTACTAAAATGAAACCAACCTATTCCATTGGGTAAGACAGAAAGGCAGTGGGCTTGAGGCTACGAAGTTTAACATGCTGCTGGCACACTTCTGCATTTGTTAGAGTGGAAAACAATACAGCTATGTTCCTAAAACTCTTTTGACCTCCACACTTCGAGGAACCTTACATTTCAGCATTTCAATGAAGCCACAAGGACAAGAAAACATGACTGAGTTTCTTGGATACAAACTGTATCTTAAGTGAGTGTTTCAAGACACTGCATGTGGAAGCTATTTAATTATGACTCTTATTTTCCCTTACTTCCCATCTAAACTGAGAGATAGTATTCCAGAGCTTTTCAAGTGTGTGTACATCACTTGTTAGAAACACTATGCAGATGACAAACTGAGACTGATTATCTCCTTTGACAATACATTAGAACTAGGTCGCAGTTGTACGCAACTGCAGGATATAAGGGACCAAACCGAAAGCATCTCATTCTTGTTGCTCTTTTTCAAGACTCCAAGATCCCCCCAAACACATAAGTGGGTTTATATAGCTTGAGATCAATCAGTCAGTGATGAAGAAGGCCTTCTAAGTTAAAAGAAGGCCTGGACCAACTCTGCCCATCATTCAGCTATCACTTGAACTCCAGTGGACAAAAAACCCTAAAGCCTGTTAACCATGCACAGCCCTCCACAGAGGCAGAACCATTCCAGCAGCTGCTGCTGCTCTTGAGCTGTAGGTCTTTTTCTAGTGTACCTGAATTAATTGATGAAATACCATTCTTAAAGGTAGGCTGACTTTCTGGAGAGAGCATGGTTGGTATCTCCTCTCCCCTCCCCATGCCAGCTAATTAGCAACAGTACTGTCCACTTGAGGTCTGATCTTGCAGAAGGCCTGTGTTCTAAAATGGCTGGGCAAGGTACCTTTTGAAAAGCCACTGATGAAGAAGCACCAGTAAAAATGCGAGAGCTCAGGGCCCCAAGGAGGTGTGCAATGGACATTTTGATCATTTCATGCATTCGGGGACTTCCAGCTCTATAGCATGCAAAACACAACTAAGAGCAAAACACAGAGGGTTAGCCAACAAAACACAACAGTGTCAAACAAAACAAACCTCCAAAAGGTAAATGGGACTAACAAATACACACATAAAAACAAGTACAAACTAAATTTTCTTGAAGTAGTGTAAGCACACATGGGAAGGTGCACGGAGCAAGATTTACTCAGTTTTCAATTCTATTAGTACTTAAGCCACAAAAAATTGTACACTTCATGTTAGGTGCTTCCTCAGTTTGAAGCTGATAATATTCAGAGAGATTTGGGGTGCCATTATTTTGTACACATTAATTGAGAACTATCCCATAGTGCAAAAAGTCCAGACTGTAGCCTTGTTTGTCAGAGAGAGTCCTCAGAATGTTCTACCAGTAATGCAGATAGCACTTTCTAATTCTGCAGCAGCTCCACTTTGTTACAGAGGGCAGGCCAGGAAAACTAAAGGACTGAGTTGGAAAGAAATGTCAAATAGCAGGGGCACTGAAGCAGAAAGCTCTTCTCTGCCACCTTGCCCTTAGAGTAAGTCAGACCAATAAATGCCAAGGCAAAGCAAATGCAGAACTCAGAAATATTTTTTTTTGTTCTCTACTGCTTATACATTGCAGAATTCAGATACAAAGGCATACTGGTTCCTGCTCTTAAGTGTCTTTCTTTACCTAAAACCTGTCTGGAAGGAACCTGAGGAAGCTTGTATGTGCCTGATGGGACTTGCTAATTAGAAAGACCTAGGCATTCACTGAGGCAGTATTTTCTTAAGGACTGAGGAGGAAATAGCTGTACCTCCAAACATTCAAAATAGAAACATGCATGCTCTGTATTACAGCTTGTTCCAATTCCCTGAAAGAAATGAAAGTTTTGTTTGCCTTGCTGGTACACCTCATCAGCCTGCAGAAGAGCTCCTCTTTCACTTTAACAGAAAAAGGACAAATTACCACTGTGCTGATTTGTACTACTACACTAGCAAATGTTTTTAAGAGACAAGCTAGCTTTCTGGGAATAAAAGTCAAGTGCAAATACCAAGAACAGCAGTTTAACTCTGATCTATGAAAGAAAACTGCCACTTTCAGGATGCCTTAAATGAATAACAGCCCTGTTTTTATCCAAATTTACAGAGAGAACAGAAAATCTGATTTCTGATACAGAGCACACAGAGCATGACTGACTGACTGACTGACCATTTTCCTAGTCTTAGGCAGTGCTCTTAAAGAGTGAAATCTGAAGGGGTTAGAGCCATTAAATATTTTTCCCAGCCAGTATTTTGTCTAAGCTAGACCTCTGTACCTTGAGTAAAGTGATGCACTAAGCTGAATTCATCAGCTTTTGCTTTTCACATTAGAAAGTCTGCTGAGAAAAACTGCAGAGAAGACTATCTATTTTCTTCAGTTTGAGACACATAAAAGGGTTTAGTAAAGCTCAGAAAGTTGTGGCTTGCTCTAAATGCAAATTCAGTTCATCCTTGCTGCAGCATCTACAGGCAGGGCTTACAAAGACTTCCAAAAATATCCATACCTTATGGTTTCACATAGCAAAAGAGAAACCAAAGCCTAAGCTATACAGGACACCTGGAATGATTACTACTCTTTTTATCTTGTATACTTTATATACACAAACTGTTTATGTTGTATCCCTGCCTTTTAAAGCCTATTTGTTAGAAACTGGGAGCTGTTTTCTTTGGTTCCCTGTTATTCCTATAGCCCCCGTCCTCAGCTTCCAATAAGACAACGCAAAGTCAATTTTATTCCTGAACTTGGAAAATACTGTAACTTCCCAGTAAAGTGAGCTATTTTCACATGGGTTTGTTTGGTTTTTTTTTTTTAATAAAAAAAACACCCCAACTGAAATACCAAAACCTGAAACAGGTGTCTAAATGTCTACATACATTTAGAGTGTAGGACATGTATACAACTTTTACATTACTCCATGGACATTAGCTCTCCTCATACCACATTAACAATATAATAATGCATTCTGCACTGTGCTGTGCAGAAAGATTTAGTGTTCCTGTGCATCTTATCTAACCTGAACAAGCAGCTCCCGTGGCTTGCTACACACTGTACTAAAAACATCAGCCATCTACAAAGGCTCACTTAATAGACCTGCAGGTATGCTTTCATACAGCCAAAGCTCCTTTGAAATTTAATTCAGACTAAAATTTAATGGAATAAAGGAAGAAGAGTGACTAATGGCACTAGAACAACACCACGTATCTGGAGGTGTAATAAATCTTTTACTTGGATGGATTAGTAAAAAGACACAAGGCTAACAAGGCACACTGTGGCACTTGTGTTAACATGGCACATTATGACGTACACACCTCTCTTGAGGAAGCTTCATTAGTTTTATACTTGCAGCAGCAAGTATAAGCCAGAACAGTGCTGTTTTATAAAGAACTTGAGGAAATTTTCTTCTTGTAAAAAGCAAAGTAAATATGAGAAGCAGTAAATGCACAACACTGCAATATACAATCGTCAGTCAGTTTCCAAAAGTGCCTTCCCATGCAAGCCCATCAACCCTGCCCAACTTGCAGTTATTTCTTCTAACTAGGCATAAGGTAGCACCACTCCTTAAGATAGTAACTGTGATTTGGACTAGTTCAGTTTCAGAGTATGTATGAAAGACACACTCTAGATAGCAGGGGAACATTAAGAGATGTTAAGACAAGCAATGGTACAACAGAGGCACTTACCTCAGCAATCTTTAACACTGAACTCCCATTCAGCTCAAATGTGGAGGTGTATGTTATACAGAGCAAGACCTTGAATCAAAAGAAAAGGAGTAAGGAAAAAAATTAAGTTTTATTTGTTACTGCCTCCCTTCCCTACCCATGTTCTTTTAGTCACAGCTCTTTCCATTTTTAGAGGAGAAATCAGAAGATTCTCAGCACCATATGTTACTGGGATAAAGGAGACGGCACAATTGTTTCCTCCTGAGAAGGAGGTACAGCCTAATGGATTGGTCCCAGAGGTACAGCCTAATGATTACATCATGCTATCTCCTAAGTCTGACCACAGAAGGAAAGAAAATCCAGCCATCAGCTCTGGCTTCAGACTTGACAGCCAGAATCCATTCTTAGTTTAATCATAAGCTTTGCATGATTTATGATCAGTCCTTCTACTCATTTCTCTCAGTATAACAAAAGAAGAAAAAAATGCATTGCAAGTTATTACTTAGGTGACACAGATATTATGTGAAACAAATTCTAATTACTGCTTGACATAAGAATTTCCCAGCCTGGGATATTTCCAGTAAGTGTATTATAGTCATTTTATAATAAGCAGCTAAAAAACAACTGATAAGACTTGCTTCATGAGAGCAGGCTTGCCCTGTCTTAACCTCAGCAGGAGCAATAAGAACTGAAATCCCCATCCAACACCTTACTTTGAAGAGGAGTGGGAATGTGATGTGATCTACCAGGGAAAGCGTGGTGGGGCAGTGAAGCACCATGGTGAGAGGTGCTGTGGTGTGATGCCTTCAGTGTCTAAAGATGTCCTCCTTCCCACCTTCCCTCCCTGTCTTTCTTTCCAATCCCTTCTGCCCCACAGAAGACTGAAAGAGTCAGAACTACCATTCCCTCTCCCTTGAATTATAAAATTCCCCCAGTGCCAGAATTTATGCTTTTCTTGGCCTGAAATAGCATGAATTTCTTGGGCTAAGCATACCAGCAAATATCCATCACATTAACACTAATGTATTGATCCCTACAACTTCCCAGTCCCCAAGAACTACTGTTTTCTGCTTCATAAGGAAATCTGGGATATCAGCTAAGTTAGCTTTACTGGCTATTAACCATTTCTCTTTATGTGTGTTGCAGTGGTACTAGGTTTTCCAGTTTACAGTTTTTTAGTCTAGGTTGTGTTACAGCTACTAATGCACAACACCCTTCAGTGAGCTCTTTAGCTTAGAATGAAAAACAAACAAACAACTTTGCCACAGAGTGTCTGATCAGAACTTCCATGTTAAACAAAAGGAGGAGGCAAAGGGGGATACATGTTTTGAAAGATTATTGCCCTTTGGTTCCTGTAAGACATCGTTTTACTGACCTTTTACTGTGTCACAGTTTTCACATTACGGTGGAACAGCAAAAAATTCAAAGTAACAACTAAAACTGTGCAAGCTGTATCTTCTCTCTAAGTAGTGTTGATCTCCAGAAGCACCTCTGAGCTTTCATAGAGAATAAATAACATGCTGATGTGTGTGTTAAGAGAAGGAGAGAACTCTAATATAACATTGCTTAGCAAGCTGAAGCCACTGGACACCCATCATTACTACTGAATCTCTGCTTGAAAGAATACCACTCTGCAGTTATTTTCCACCAGGGAGGGGGAAAAATCCATTACTGGAAAGCAGGCATTTAATAACTGGATGGGAATTTGAATACTCAGTACAAGAACAGCTTTGAGAATTAGCTACTCACTCTTAAAGTTGCAGAGGAGCCTGTCCACAGGTGAGTGTGCCATTTTTCTGGAGGAGGACCTTCTTTGCATTTTCAGAGCTGGACTAAAAAATTTCTACACACTGAAATGCACTGTACCTTTACAAATGTGTTTTTTCTCAGCAGAAAAGCTGCATTTCACTAGGATGTCACACCTTACTCCAAAGTTGTTTTTAGTTCTGTTTGCTTCTTTGTTTTGTGTATAAAATACCAGGCATGAGCTTGATCCTATCCTTACAGAAGATGGTTTTACTATAAACTTTTTTCCAAGAAAACCATGATGTAATGACAGTTTTACATTTGTCTATGTATGTTCTCTTGCCTTAACTCTCACTCAGCTCTTCATTAACAGATGAGTAATGTGGATTAAACAGATGAGTAATACTAGAGATAATGTGTACAGCAAAGGACATGCTATTCTTCTGAAGTACAATAGTCCTGGATTATAATCTCTTTTACAGATATTTAGCATTGACTTTTACAGCAAAGCAAAGTTTCTGAGTCAAGTCTCTTCTTCATAGTTTCCCTTTTCTGTGAAATAGGCAAAATGGGTTTTCTCATCAAAGGAGTGCTACACAGCCTACCTCAGTATTACAAGGAGAGATACTAGCTGTAGAGCATTTGAACTTGCAGGAGAAGTAAATACAGTTCTAATTGCCAATTCTTAATAATGCCATACTTTGTATTTCCTGATACAAACTCTACAAATTTCTCTGCAATCTGATGCAACTGCTGGCAAATGGACAAGTGCCAGTGACAAGGAACAGAGATAAATTTTTCCTGTCCACAGAGCAAATCCTACAGAATAGCTGAAAAGTAAATGGTCAGTGTAAAACAATAATCTCATTTGGTTAGTAAGTACATAAATTATAAGGGCTGTTATTTCCATCTGCTGCTCAGCCCATACCTGCAAAATTTAAAACTTCAGAACTGAACAATGCTGTTCGGTATTAAGTGAATTCTGAACTGGCAGCCAACCTCACAGACAGCTGTTGGGCCTCACTTTCTCAGCTGCTAAGTACCCTGAAATTGTATTGACATTTCTAATAGTTGTGAGGGCTCAGCAGCTGGCTAAAAATACATTCAGTATGTAAAGAAAAACTGTGATTTGTATTCTCCATTCACTGCTGTGTAAAACACAGGTACAATGTGCACATTTATAGTCCCAGAGACGGACAACTATCACCCCCCACTGACAAAGCTCTTCTTAACATGTCCAAGGAGGACAGCCTGACCCATGACTAATCCTATTCAGCGGACTGCATGTCCTGATTTTCTCTACTTGTAAAACCTTGTTTGCTTCATATGATTTTCTGCTTCTTGTACCATCTTGCGTTTGTACAGTTCATTAATACCTAATGCTTTCCACAGATCAAAACCTGAAAGCCATATACTACAGTACCTGGAAGTACATAACAGTTTAGGCATTCTCATAAACCCTTTCTCTTCAAAATCTCTTTTTCTCCTTTTTTTTTTTCTCTTCGATTTCCTAGCTGAACTATGAAAAGCTAGCACATATATGCCTAATCCTTTGTGTCACAAGTGCCAATAACCTGTTGTAACAGTGAATGACAGAAAAGTCAGATACCAAGTGCAGTAAGAAAGTGGTGATCAAAACCTTGCTATGAAGCAACACGGAATTTCAGCAGAAGGACTACTAAGTTTTGACTGCTACTCTTGGAATAAAATGAAATCTGGGAACCTACTAGCTAGAGAAAGGGTATATGATCTGATGTGATCAAGTAACAGAAGCATAACAAGTTATCAGCCAGCATATTTTTGGCTTTCTCCACTGGCTACTGTCTTTCCTCACAAATCATTTGTGAGATCTGAAAGATGGTCTCTAACCCATGCTCAAGACTGCTCTCAGCTATGATTTCCATTAGTGCCACTGCAGGGCTCATTTACAGTCTTGGCAGTGCTCCAGGCACTCAACTTGCGTGTCTTCCTATTTATGTGGAACAAGCAGGAAGACAGCAAGCTTCTCTTTGAGATTACTGAATTAAGAAATGGGATTAAAAATAAACAAACAAAACCAATCTTAATCATTCAGATCTACTACAAACACTAAGTCTCTAGACAGCATATCCCACAGGCTGCTCAACTAGTCACAACACTAACTCAAGCAGTGTGTATTTAAAAAAATTAAAGAAAGATAGGTTTTCTTGAACAATGACATTTGGGGTTTGCAACCACTAGTAGTGGAAGCCTATAACTAAAACTACAAACCAATTCCTAATTGGTATGGGCTCTAAAATACACCTTTTTAGTTCTTCTTCTTTTTTTTTTTCTTTTCAAGAGGGAACTTACATGACTACAGAGATAGTTTCAAAGTCACACAACCTCCAAGATGTTTTAATTGGCTTGCATTATCTTGCAAATGCTTGGATGAGAGCACATTTCCATAAATGACATCCGTAATAATTTCTAATTACTGTCGACTGTCATGGAACAAGAAGTGAAATTTCTGCTCCCTGGCATCCCAGGGTACCAATTGTAGTATAAGAGTGCGCACAAGGAAAATTTTCACAAGCAGAAACAAAAAACAAAACAACAAAAAAAGTGCTTCTGATGGTAACGAAGTGTCAACAAAGGTTAACTGACACAAAAGGTACAACTGTTCCATATTTTAAGATAGGTGTCTTGAAGGAGGAATCTTTTTCACCTTGTAAGACTGCTAAGTGTTGCTAGCCAAGTTTTCCAAGTGCTTAGCTCACATTGAACAGCTTATGGTGGAATCATGTCAGACAAGGTGTGTAAGGAAGTTAGTATCCCCAAGATGGAGAAAGAGGAAAAAGGTACAAAAATTTAAAGCAACCGTAATCTGTCATCACCTAAGGACGTTTCAGCACTTCACTGCATTTAAGTGTCAAGTCCAACATCCATACGCTACTGTTATCCTTTTCCTATTCCAGCATTCAAAGTCCCACTGACAAAATCCTCTGAACATTCGTGTTCCTCCTAGTTGAGATGCATGTAGACACTTTAGTCCTTAGAGTACCAAATTCTGCAGCGACCTCTAATCCCTGTGTGGGATTCAAAGAGGAGACCTTTTCTAGTTTACTTTGCTTGCAGGCTTGCAAACTTGGATGCAATGTATATTTGGATGATTCTTAAATCCTCCCCTCAGGAGGAAATACTCAGCCAGAAGACAAGGCAGGACAACCATTTATCTCATTCAGTAATCTGACATGTAAAGCAGTCATCCAGTATTTCTATGAGTTTGGACAGGAGGTGTCCTACTGCTTGGCAGAATAACTAGTAACCTGCCCATGTAGCATTCTTTGGCCTTGAAGGAAAACAAGGGCAAGAGAAACAAAGTG